TTGCACTATCCACCATATTGGGTCTTCCAATGTCAATGATAGTATAGCATATAATTTACTGAGCCCAAAGCCCAGACCAATGCTCCAGAGGTGTCAGTTCATATCCCACCATGGCAAATGGGAATTTAAATACAATTAATAAATAAATCTGGAATAAAAAGCTGGTCTCAATAACAATGATCATGAAACTACTGTTGTAAATATGCATTCAGTTCACAGATTCTTCCTTTGGGGAAGGAAGCCTACTATCCTTATGCAGTTTGGTCTACATGTGACCCTAGACCCATAACAATGTGGTCAACCTTTCACTTTGTCTGCAAAGCATTTGTTTGTACCTAACCGCTACAGAAAGGTCAAATAAGAATAAAACTTGTCAGACCACCTAACATCAACCTAGGTATTTGGAAACAAAAAGAGGCACATACTATCAAGAAAACCTCCTGCAGATCATTAATACTCTCCTCCTGTGGAACACCAGTTAGATAAAGTATTGAGGGTGGCAAGGATACAGAATGTGCTCTGTGTGGGGTAACCTCCATGCCCCCATTCACATTAGCTCAGTAACACCACTACTGACTGAGTTGGCTGAATCTAGAAGAATACCTGTTAGGTCAGATCATCAGCTGATAGTGGGCCAACCAAAACAATGGAAGCGTCTGTGTGGCCACTTCACCAACAACCTATCTGTAGAAGATGCATCTGTTTATGGCAATATTGGAAGGAATGATCACTATACTGTGATTATGGACACCAGGTCCTATCTTTACAGAGAACACTGTCCATTATGTATGTGGCCCTGCCCCATTGCTAAATGGGATAGATCTAGAACAGTTCTAGCAAATCAAAACTGGACATTCAAAGGGTGCTGTGGGCTACCAGTAGCAGCAGCCTTGTCTTTAACCACAGCCTGTAATTTAATGGCCCTGCACATTGTTCACTCTACCATTGCCATAACAGGGATCAAACCTGATTCAGGGAGTGGATAAGAGCATGCCAAGAATAGCACAAGGTGTACCTAGAAATGAAAGATTAACAAAGGACTATATGCATGCTAAACAGCAGAAACAGGAAGTGATAGACAGTGATTCCACAACAAACAGGGCAGTTGAGTAGCATGGAGTACTGCACGTTTTGATAAGACAATTGTGAGAAAAAGATGGGTTGACAATTTCTTTTGTCTCACCTTACCTTCCAGTAGGCTCAGGGTGGGTATGAGCACCAGTGTCCAATCTCAAAAATCAAGACAATTGAATTTCCAGTCTACCATTTCAGTTTAGTCAGATTCAGCATGCAAGAATAATCCCTTCACATGGCATTTATGCAAGAATAATCCCTTAATGTGGCATCAGGGCTAATGTACCATGCCTCTAGCTTTTTATTGCAAACATGGTCCAAACCTTTTGCTAGTAATCTGCACAGTGCTTCCCCATGTCCACTGTACTCATTCACAAAAACAGATTGCAATTTCACCAATCGGTGATTATTGAAAGCAAAATCAGAATTATTTTACTTCACTTTCCCAATGTCAGGGCGTACATCCAGGAGGAGAATGTCAGGCAATTAGCAATTCAATGTGAGCATTGTTTTCTTGGGTTGGTTTTTGTGATATTTTTCACCATTGTCAGAATATGTTTCTACTGAGCATTGACACAAATCCGACAAAAATTTATTTTGTTTTTAAAGGGTGAAGATCCATTTGACCTGCTCGCAGGAACACTTCCATCTGAAGCACCAGACAATTCGGGTCCAAAATACACTGGTCCTGAGGTGAAGGTAGAAATGACATTTTTTGCTTGAAACTTTTAAACTTTGAATCGTTGACATCATAAGCTGGTCCATTTCAGAACTTTCATACATTTGTACATCAGTATTATCAGTCAGTTGCACTGGTCTTTAACCAGCTCGGCAACAACTTGTGTTTACATAGTGCACTTCATATAGTAAGATATAGTCAGGTATTTCAGCGCAAAGTTATTGAGCAGCGTTTAATACAGAATATCTTGAAGAAATATTAGGCCAAGTAACTGGAAGCTTGTCTTTGAAGAGTGAGGTCAAGAATTAGAAAAGCTTTGGGAGTGAATTTCAGGATATTTACAGGCTTATTTTTAAAGAATGAAGATCCATTTAACCTAATTCCAGGGATACTGTCATTAGAAGCACCGAAATACATTCTTTCAGAGTGATGAGAGTAGAAATGAATTGTCACCCCTAACACTTGTAGTCTTTGAATGAGACTCCTGATGTTGCATCTTATGTTCATCCTTTTGCTTGTGGACCAAATATACATTTGTCCACATTAAATTGGCAACACTGACCTCTCCCCTGTCTATCAAGAACAACTTGCATTGATACGGCAGATGTGATTGTTCAGCGACTTTTGTGACAAACAAAACATCTTTATCAAATCTGGGTGGGGGAGGGGTGGGAAGAGCTGGGTCTCTGAAAGATTTCTGGTTTAATAAAAAGCTTTGGTTTTCTATTTAACTGATCATATGACCAAATTGCCTGGGAGATAAACAATAAAAAAAGGAGTTGCAAAATAGGGATGAGTTAATTGTTAGTGGTCTGGTCTCAAGTGAAGTTTTAGTTTTTAGCTTAGAATGATTTGGCTGGAGACAGAGGTGCATTTCTTTTGAACACTTTATTTGAAATTCCATGTTTTGGTAAGAGTTTAAAGCTTTTGTTCACTGAAGGATAGACAAGATGAGAAAAGAGAGAGTTCTAGAGGAAAGTTTGTCGAGTTCAAGGACCAGGAATTAGAACCAGGAGAGTTCTGATCCAAAGATAGCAAGAACTACAGAAGCTGGAGTCAGACATAACAAAGTGTGGAGCTGGAGGAACACAGCAGGCCAGGCAGCACCAGAGGAGCAGGAAAGTTGATGTTTTGGGTTGGGTCCTTTTTCAGAAAATTCTGAAGAAGGGTCTCGACCTGAAAAGTCAACTTTCCTGCTCCTCTGAGTTCTGATCCAAAGTGGCTACAGTTAAAATAGTGAGTTTACAACCCATGGATAGTTGAAGAAGATTTCAAGGGAAACCCATATCAAAATAAACAGAAAGCTCAAGTTGTACTTGATGAAGTACAGAGACAATATGGTTAATTTTCCAAGTTTTAGATGTGTTGACTTGAGTTTGTGGTTGTGTAACTCAAATAAGCATAGAAGGAAATTTGAATTAAGAGGTTCAGTTTACAAAATAAGTAATTGTTTCTTCAAACTTTCAGTATGTTTAACAGAATAGTTAATATAGAGCGTAGTTATTAGTTTTCATGTTCCTTGATTCTTCCATGAACCTTGTAGCTTTGTTCTTTAGAGCATACATTTTTAAAGATTCTAAAATAATAAACACATTACAGAGCTCTACTGTGATCATAATATAGACTTAATGTGGTAATCTCTAGGCATTTCACAAGAGTATGATCAAACATAATTTGTTATGGAAACATTGAGGGAGAAATGAGGCAATTGACCAAAAACTGAATTAAGGAGCTTAATTTTACAGGGCTTCTTAAAGGCGGAGCAAGACATAGCCTGAGAGGAACAGGGAGTCAATACCAGAACTCTCTACAACAATTGCTATAGATTTTTGCAGAGACTTAAGTGGTTTACAAGGATGTTGCCAGGGCTTGGAAATTGCAGGTATAAGGAAAGATTAGATAGGTTGTTTTCTTTAGAACAGAGAAGCCTGAAAGGGTGACTTTATTAGAGCATACAAAATAATGAGGGGCTTGAATGGGGTGGACAGAGAATACTGTTTCCCCTGGCAACGAGGTCAGTTACCAGCTAGCACAGATTTAAGATACTTGGTAAAAGGATTAAAGGTGGACATCTCATTCACAAGGAACCTGGATCTGAACCTGAATCATATCTAAGGCTACATATGAGGCGTTGGTAATTGGGGTTGGAATGGGTGGCTGAAGTATTCAGCTAGCACAGACACAGTGGGCTGAATGGCCTCTTTCTGGGCTGTAACCTTCCTGTGGTTATATGATTCTAAATTCCTAAATGGTCACTTGACCTGCTGAACTCCAGATATCTTTTACTGAAGCAAACTATGTGAATTTTGAATCTTAGTAATGATATGAATATGAGCACTTTGTAATTTTCAGGAATCGGATGCTAAGAAGAAGAAGGCTGAACGAGTGGGAGAAACTGAGGAATCAATACCCCCTGATTACAGATTCAAAGAACAACCAGACGCTAAGGTTCAGTCCATGCAATGAATTTGAAAAAAGCCTATAGTTTTCCTGTTTTCAAAAAATATTTGTTTAAAAAATAGAGAACTTTCTAAATTAGTATTCATAGAATGACATTTTAGTTATAGTTATATAGTTATAGTCAGCTTTACCAGCTGACATCTATTCTATTTAATTCTGCTTCCATTAATAAATCCTGATTTTTAAAAAAAAATCTGTTTGTTGTAACAGGATAAAGCTAAAGGGGGTCCTTCATCCACTGGGCCAGGAGCAAGACCAAAGGTCACAGAGAAGGTAAAGGTGAAGTTTTTCTCTATCTATTGTAAGAGGGTTTGATTCACTACAATGAAACTCCAAGGCACAATTCCATAACTCACTGATTCTCATAACTTAGTGAGGTGAGTAAGTGCATTGGAAGTGTGTTCAAGGCTATCACATTGCTCAGTAACAGGGTAAGAATCACTGAAGTTCTTGTGCTCAGTATTTGAGGGCCCACAAATGGTGAGTGTGCCTGACCTCCCCCATTGTATTGGCAGGAGGATTAAAGAAGAGTACTTAGACCATTAGGAATGGTCGAGATATAAAAAGGAAATTTGCTTTGTTGAAAATTCATTCACACTACATCTACAACACCCAGAGCATTTTCTTGCTCTTTGAATTTATGATCAGAACAAAAATGAAAATCTACAAATTTAAGGGATTAATACAATTATCCACAAATTCCAATTTCTAGTTCTTTTGATTTTATCTTTAAACTTAAGTTCAGTCTGGAGAAAAAAGGCATCTTATTAGTTTTTTTTTAGTGCCGAAATACTAAGAATTCAAATACCTGAGGTACTTTGTGAATTCACCCCGGAAAGCCACCAAAATGCTTGGGAACATCCAATTATAGGTTCAACTTACAAAAGAAAAGTTGCCTGTCTATGTGGAAGTGACAGAATGCATGAGGACTCCCTCCTCCAATCCCAGGCTTAAACTTTTGTCCATGCTTCTGAAAGGCTCCCTAGTGAGATACAGTTGAGCCTATCTACAACAAATGCAGGAGAGAACAGATTGGAAAGTTGTGAGCAGTGGCAGTACAGTGGAGTGGCAGGAGCAAAAGAGATAGTGAAAGGGAGGCAATGAAGAAAAGTGAGTCTGCAATGGGGTGATAGTACCATGGGGATCACAGCTGCGATGGGTAGAGGTTGCAGAGATTGTAGGGAAGAGGGGTTCTGTGACTGAGGACAAGGTTTGTGAGGAGAGGAGAAAAACTGCAAGACAAAAAGAGTTGTAGGAATGAGATAGCAGTTTTAAACATGTCCACAAAAGAATGCTTGTTAACCAGGAGGTAGGTCATTTTGAAGTCACTGAGGTTGATAAATGCTTTACAAGTTAATATGGAATCTCTGGGTTAAGGATACCCAAGTTCAGGAGCAATTGTGTAAGGAAAATGTTGCTGATGCTTTTGTAATTATCACAATATAATTTAATGCTGAAGATTCATTTTGTAAGAAATATTTTCATTCATTTCCCATCACAAGTCAAAACATTTCATGTACTGTGAATTATTTGAGTGGCAGTGACACATTAGAGATAAACATCTACCATTTTGCATTTACAAGATCCCGAGCAATAAGGAATAAATCGCATCTTTATAGTGATTTTATAGGTCATATCTTAGGACATCTCGAAGTCCTTTACAGGTATTGAAATACGTTGGAAGTATAGTCACTGTTGTGATGACGGAAATACAGTGAGATAAATAATCGATTAATTCACGTGTCTAGGATTAGTGTAATGTAAAAATTAGACTAGGTCTTTCAGGAGTGGAATTAGAAAGCACTGGAATGCTCTTCTGCAAACAGCAGTTGATGCTGGATTTATAATTGCTGGATTTATAATTGATCTGGCATTGATATAAGATTTAAGCCTGGTTAAATTTAGATCTGAGATGCAGTTTAAAAAAAATGTTGGCAACTATCTGGTTAGAATCTTCCAGCTTTAGGAATGAAAACTCATTAGTTGGGACTTCAGTGATGCATGGAACGTGTGTTTAGATTCATGACTTATTGTGGGTAGAATTGTACATCAATTATTTTGAGAAATGATTCGTTCCTAGGTCATGTCTGTTGTGGAAATGTAAATACTGTAGCTTCCAGGAAATTAATGTTTTCCATGTATATTATAGTTCTAGTAAGAAGACGTTAGCATGCTTGCCTTCATTGCTTAGACCATTGAGTATACAAGTAAGATGTAATGTTGAAGTTGTACAGGACATTGGTGAGGCCTATTTTGGAGTACTGTATACGGTTCTGGTTACCTTGCTATAGGAAGGATGTGATTAAATTGGACAGGGTTCAGAAAAGATTTACCAGCATATTGTCAGGACTGGAGGGTTTGAGTTATAGGGGGGAGGCTGAAAAGGCTGGGACTTTTTTCATCAGAGCATAGTAGGTTGAGAGGTGACCTTAAAGAGGTTTATAAAATCCTGAGGGACATAGATAAAGTGAATAGCAAAGGTCTTTTGCCTCGGGTGGGGGAATTCAAAAATAGGGGGCATATTTTTCAGGTGAGAGGAGAAAGATTTGAAAGGGACCTGCGGGGAACTTTTTCACACAGTGTGATTTGTATGTGGAATGAACTGCCAGAGGAAGTGGTAGATGCATGTCCAGTTATGACATTTAAAAGACATTTGGATAGATACATGAATAGGAAAGAATTAAAGGGATATGGGCCAAACATAGGCAAGCGGGACCAGTTTAGTTTTGTCAACATGGACTAGTTGAACAAAAGGATCTGTTTCCGTGCGTATGACTGTATGACTCTAAATTTAATGGAATGGTAATAATTATTGAGGATGTTGTTGAATTCTGATAATCTTGCTTATGTGTGAGTCCAAATACTCTAAACTGCAATGCAATTACAGAAGATAATGTAACGATGTGACTGCATGACCTAATGATCAGATCAGTGAAAATGACAAAGATTCTCAATGAAGAGAGGGCTGGTTAGGCTTTCTTTAGGTTTTCTTTCTTTTAGGTTTTCTTTAGAACAAAGAAGTCTAATAGGGGAACTGATTGAAATGAGTAAGGTTATGAGGGGCATAGACGGTGGATAGGAAGCAGCTTGTTCCCCTTAGGTGAAGGGTCAATAATGTGTAATTTTATAAAAGGCAGTGGGTTTTCAGGGGATGTGAGGAAAACTGTTTTTTTTTTCACCTAGATGGTAGTGGGAATCTGGAATCCACTGCCTGGGAGAGTAGTAGAGTCGGGAAACCTCACAACCTTTAAAAAATGCGTGATGTACACTAGAAATATCGTAATTTTCAAGGCTGTGGGCCAGTTGCAGGAAATTGGGATAAGTGTAGATAGATCGGTGCAGACTTGATGGGATGAAGGGTCTCTGTTTTCCTATGCTGTCTGACTCTATGACTCTGAGATATTGAAAACCAAAAGTTAGCCACCAAAAATCAAAATGTACATTCAAAGGAAATCTCAAGAAGATCTTTGAAAAAAAAATTGACCCCTGCAAGGTACTCTCAAAAATTCGTTGTATAAAGAACCAGCGTGCAAATATATGATGTACAATGTCTGGTGGAAACATAATCTGCAACTTTAGCTGAACCCTGCAGAAGAGTGAATTTGGAGAGACTGTTCACCAACCCTCCTGTGTGCATTGCACAAATGAGACCTGACAGACTTCAGCTCACTATCCTTTCATTGAAGACAGTTGCATACCAGAGCCTGATTTGTGTGAAGGAAAATTGTGCAGTTCATCACACATGGTGCGATGCAATTTTGTCATTTGTGCTCCATGATAGATGATTTGAAGCCTTTATATCTTTGTTCTTGAAATATCTTTGGGATGGTTTAATTACATGAATGTCTTGTAATCGCAGTGTATGACACAAAGTGATGTCATAACGTCCCTGTCGGCAGACTTTGCCCACAGCTCGCCGGCTCCAATTTCAAAATGCTCAGCCTCAAGTTCTCACTCTGCACCTCCACCGCCTTCACTGAAGCAGGTATGGTAACAATGTAAAACTGTGAGAGACTGCAGGTGGTCCTCTCTGCCTCATTGTCTCACTATGTTGGATGGTTTTCATATAACTTTCTTGCTCAGCACAATCTCAACTATTAAACTACGATTGTCCCCATCCCATCAACTTCCAGATTTTACCGTGGCATAGATAATAGGGCACTGCTTTGAAACTATTCTTCAATGTGATCCCATTTCACACCTGAAAATTAATATGACCCAGCCACCATCTAAAACAAAACAGCAATAAAGCTGCATTGTAGCATTTAACATTTTTTTTGAAGTTTGTGTAGTATAGCTCAGCAGATAATGTGTCATATAAATATGAAAATGTGTTTTTAAAGTTTTTTTATGTGAAAACGTTATTATGTTACGTGCTCATCTTAGTGAGAAAAGACTGAGGGAATCCCCTCTTCCCCCATCCCCCATGCACATTGTAATCAACTCCTCTCCTTGCACCATACACTCACCAACCCCACTCCCCAACCCTCCCCATAATATACTTGCGCCTGCAGCAGCCCCTTCCCCTTTACCCACTTTTTGTTTAGCTGCTGTGCCTGTGAAGCAAAGTCCCTATGCTGGGTTAAGGATCCTGTAAAATAGGCGGACAGAAATAGAAACAATAATGGTTTGAAGCTACCACTCACTTCCCACTCCCTTGCCTAGTCGCCTCTCATTCTCAATCTGTGACTGTTACATTTGCCAGCCTTTGGCCATGTCAAGTAAGCAGCCAGTTATTCAGGACCCACTTGAACTTGCCCACAAAAGGTTCTTTCTAAGTTTAAAACACTTTGGACTGATTGTCCACCCTGCACTGTTTGGTGCGATTTATCAAATGTGTGCAGAATGATCCCTGCAATGCTTCTGGGCTGTGTTCTTCTTTCCACAGCTGCCATTGCTATTTTGAGGAGGGACAGCTTGTGGCCACAAGTATAATCTTTACAATTCTAGAGCGGGTCATGAATCATAGTTTGGGATTTAGCTCAAATAGCATTGGACAACCAGTCATCAAGGGCAGTACAGCTGGATGAGACTCCCATCTCCAACTGCTGCTGTAATGTCTGGCATCTGACGGTGCCATTCCATCCCTATAATTAAGATCAGAGGGTTCATGTGGCACAGTGGTAGTGTCCCACCCCTGAGCCAGTAGGCCCAGGTTCAAGTTCCACCTACTCCAGAAGTATGTAGTAACTTCTTCGAACACGCTGATTAGAAAATGTCTATAATTGAGGTCAGTAGAAACACTGGAGAACACCATTTCCATATTTTGAAATTCGCATCCATATTCACTACCTTGGACTGTTTTCCCACAGCAGTGCTCATTCTCCTTTCCTGCTGGCCAGAGCACTTTGTGTGACTGTACACAGCTCATTTAAGGTATTGAGAATAGCAAAAGAAATGGTTCTGGAAAATTGACTCTGTTGAAAACAAACAAACAAATAAAACTGAAGGAACTGATAAAGGATCATCCATGTCAAAAGTTAACTCTGTTCTTCTCTCCACAGATACTGCAGGAACTGCATTTCCAACCTTATCTGTTCTTAATTCAATCTCTAACATCCTCTTATATTGGCATTTAATTCATAGTCAACTTTTCACCTTTCAGAAGTACTGCTGTTCTTTCTGACAGGCTTTCCATTTGTCTTTTGCTCCATTTCAACCTGCTTGTGTTTTCCTCCTAGTGTTTGCTCAGGTATCCAGCAGAATTCACTTTCACAGGCACTTGTCTTTCCTTATCAGCTTTGCTTCCAATCTACTGTACATGGAATCAAACTGAAATGCTACTTTTTTGACTAGCATTCTGATCAGAAATCTTCAATCTGAAGTGTTAATTCTGTTTCTTTCTCCACAGATTCTAACAGGCTTGCTGAGTATTGCCAGCATTTTCTTTGTAATTACAATTGTAATGTTCTTTCTTGCAAAGGCACCTCTGAAAGCTGCTTCAGCTGCCTCCGTTTCAGAAAGTAAAAGTGGTGCTAAGGTAAGCCAAAAGAAGAAGTAAATGTGAACTGTCTGGCAGCTGCCAATGATAACAGAGGAATTGCACAAATAAACCAATTCAGGAAATCTATACAGGTCATTTACTTCTCAGATATCATCAATCATACCAGAGCTGTTCTTAACTCTCCATTATCCCAATTTGTAATTCTGATGTTCCAAATATGCATACACAAGAATCTCACACCCCGTCTGTTCCTACGCTGTGAAATTACTTGCAGCCCTTTCTTCCAAACATCTTCACAAGCTTCTGATTTTTGTCTGCACCACAGTTTCCTCCATTCATGCAAAAACAATTTAACAAAATGTAAGTTCATTAATCAGTGATGTGGAAATGAAAGTCCTAATTATCCGAATTCTCACTCCCAGTATTTTGGTTCCCCTTCAGGATAAGGTATTGAGGGCTTTTCAATAAAATATAAACGACAGTTACTTGGATTGTTTCCAGGAATATATTACACTGATCTGCAGAGCTTTGACATCAGTTGAAACAAGCCCTTTTATTTTTAAAGGATAAGGATCCACTTGATCTGCTGGCAGAAACACTTCCATCTGAAGCACCAGACAATTCAGCTTCAAAATACACTGGTCCTGCAGTGAAGGTATGACAACATTTATTGCATAATATTTTGGAGTTTATGTAATATTCCTGTAACTGCATCATTTCCTGATCTGATGAAGGGTCTAGGCCTGAAACGTCAGCCTCTCTGCTCCTATGATGCTGCTTGGCCTGCTGTGTTCATCCAGCCCTGCACCTTGTTGTCTCGGATTCTCCAGCATCTGCAGTTCCTACTATCTCTCATTTCCTGATCTGTCAGTTTGTGAAGCTATTATACATTTGTACATGTGAACTTAGGCTGCTGTTAGCCCTGTCCTTTCCCCATTCAACAAGTCTTGCATCATTAGAACATGCCAAATTTTCACTAGAATTATCTAACAAAATGTGATGACAAGGAATGTTGAGATATATTGGGAAAGGTGACCAAAAACTTCATTAAAGTGAATGATTTTATGGAGCTGCTTAAATGTTGAGGGAGCTGCAGAGAGGCTGAGCCTTAGGGTAGTAGTTTGAGAATATCCCTGTTAAGTACTAAAAGCCTCTACAATTGACTTTTTCAATGCCTTGCATAATTTCCTAAGTGTTCAGTTATTCACTTAACTCGAGTTATTATTTTACAGCAGTACAGTATGTGGTGAAGTGTCATTGTCCCTACCTTGGAGCTTGTTACAAAGCAGGCAAACAGGTTGAATATCAATGTGTAAGGTCTTCCAAAACGCCTGGAAGTAAGAGCAGATTCCTGGTCAGCTAGAACCATGTGGTAGTTGCAATGCAACAAACTTGCCTTGTTAAAAGATTCCACATACAGGTTCTTGCCATGATAAAGTGCTATCCTGTTTCCAAGTGACGACTATATGCTCTCTCAGACAGTAATGTGTGTCTGCATATTGTATCTTAACATTTGCATGAATATTGATTCTTTTATTTCCCAATTTTTTTAGGAATCAGATGCTGAAAAGAAGAAGGCTGAACGAGTGGGAGAAACTGAAGAATCAATACCCCCTGATTACAGATTTAAGGAACAACCTGATCCTAAGGTTGGGTATAACAATCAATTTGAGACAAGCCAATAATCTTAGTATTTTCAAAACATGTCGGTATACACATGAGTGGGGAAAAATCTAACATGATCTAATTCAAAACTTCTACATTAGTGTTAGCTATTGTTCAGTCAGTGGAATTCATGTCTCTTAGTAAGAATATATGAGGCAAGTGGCACTCAAGTGACTTGAGGTAGAAATCAATGCCAGTGCAGTACTGAGGGAGAAACTGTCCTCTGAATGAGTAGCAAAAGTGAGACTCAGTCTGTTCTTGCAGATTGCATGTAAGAGATGACATGACAGCATTTCAAGGAAGGGTAGGTTAAACGTCCCCTGTGATCTCAACAACATTTATGTCTCGACAGCAAAATAAAAATAGATTGTCTGGATGTTATCAGATTGCTGTTTGTGGGAGTTCACTGTGTTGTCATATTTCTGAAGTTGCTATGGTGAATATGGGCTAAAAGCATTAGTTAGCTCTAAAACACTTTTTGAAACATCCTAAACATATGAAATGTGCTACAGAAATGCAAGTCCTTCTTTTGTTGTTGAGGTAGAAATAATGCTGATGCTATGAGTTACAATGAATCTGACAAAATTACAGAAGAGAAATTGCTCGGCAGTTTAAACTAAAATCAGTGCTTGCCTAGACCCTCCATTGATTAAACTTGCAAAATATTGTTTTTGGTTCAACTTATTCTACAAAGACATCATGTGTGAGGTTGCATGATGAAGTATTTTGCCAAGATTTATATTGGTACTTTATCATCTGTTCTTAATTCTACATAATTCAGATGCCCCAAAGAGAAATCTGATAATATTTGTCATTTGTAACAGGATAAAGGTAAAGTGACCTCTTCTTCCACTGGCCCAGGAGCAAAACCAAAAAGAACAGAGAAGGTAAAACTTTTTTGTCCTCTTACAAGGGTATTTGGTTCCCTACAGTGAAAAACTTCCAGCCACAATTCCATAAAACTATAATTCGCATAATCTTGGTATATTAGTGACAGTGGTGGAGGTCTATAAAAGGATATTACTTCACGCAGTGATAAAGCTGGATCAGCAGTGATATTCCAATTATTGCTCAAGATTGGAGAACGCTGCAGGCACAGAAACAAAAATGCCTGGTGTATACAGTCTCCGTTATAGAATTGGGTAAGCGAATAAGAGAAAAATAAAGTACTTGGAGCATAAGGAATGTCAGACATGTGGAAAGGAAATTTGCCTAACTGAAAATTCACTCTCATCACTTCTTCAAAGCACAATATGATGCTTATTCCTAATCTGAAAAGATTAAAGATCTTATGAATTTAGTTTTAGTTAGGAAAATGGCTTCTCATTTTTTGCCTTTTTTAACAGATGTGCGGAAGTCCTGACAATAATTCTTACTATATCTTTGTACATTGGTTTTTTGTGATTGCCAGTCCAGTGATGATGTTTCCTGGAAACATAGTTTGCAGGTCTAACTGCAACCTGCCAAAATGTGAGAAATTAGCTATTCTCCCTTTCATTTTCCAGAAATTGGATTGCAACTCATTGCCTCTCTGTCCTTCCATTGGGTAATACAGACCTATGAGAACTTAAAAGTTGTGCAGGAAATGTGTCAGATAATGCTATTTCAAACCTTTGTATCTTTGTTCTTGAAATATCTTTGAGATAGCTTACCTACATTTGTTGTATTGTTATTGCAGAAAATGACAGAAGATGATGTCCTGGATTCTTTGGACTTTGTCCAAAGTTCTCCAGCTCCAATTTCAAAATGCTCAGCTGCAGCATCTCATTCAGCACCACCACCACCTTCACTGAAGCAGGTATGACAACAATGTAAAACTGTGAGAGACTGCAGATTGAGGGATTTCCTAGCTGTGTGGAACTGCACTGTTCTTCCATTCAGACACAGCCATAGGAACATTGAAAAAGGAATAGGCCATTCAGACCTCGAGCCTGTTCAGCTATTCATTGAGATCATGGCTGACCTGTGGCCTACCTTCATGAGCCTTTGGCCCATATCCGTTAATATATTTGCTTAACCAAAATCTATCTATCTCAGATTTGTGAGAGAATCTTTCACAATAGCCTCTGTTCCAGTTCCTGTGCTGTTACCTCTGGAGTTCCCCGTACATTTGGCTCCTTCCCATCTAGATGCAACATCTTGCAGAATTGAATGTCCACCTCCATTCTCAGGAAAGACCTACTCGTGTACAATTAGTTCTACAGGCCTTACCTAAAAGAGATGACACGGTGCTTTTGCTAGCTCTCCAGCTGACAGCTGAAATCTCTGTTGCTGCCATTGAGTACCACCTAACATTTCCATTGTCTCTCATTTGCTACATTTGAGATTCAGCAACTAATATTAAGTGCACAAACATACCCTGCAGCTCAAAGCTGATCACTCAAAGTTATTGTCTTCAATCTAAACCACAAACTCTATTCCATAGGGATCAACGCCATCATTCTCCTGGATTCTAGTTGGCTTCCCATAGTCAACTATCTGTGAAACATTTACTTTTCTGAACCTCCCTTGGCCATTTTCTGATTCACACAAAGTCCCATTCACATGTCATCCCTGTGCTTGTTAAATTAAATTGACTTCCAACCTGACAATGCCTTTAGTGTTAACTTTTTCATCCTTGTTTTCAAATCTCTGTGGCTTCACCCTCTCTATCTCTCCCACTTCTTCCAGACCTTCAACATTCCAAGATCTTTACAATTCTCCAATGTGGCCCTCCTGCACATCCACCATCAATGGCTATCCTGTCAGGTGCATAAATCTTAAAGTCTGGAATCCCTCCCACTAAGCTATCCACACCTTTAACAGCTTCTCCTCCTGTAAGCTAGATAAAGTCAAGCTCTTTAACCATTTGACCTATTTGATCTTCTAGGGCCACAGTGTCAAATTTGTTGTGAGCCCACCAAGTCTGAATCCAACCACTTTAGTACACAGGGAACAGTCTTAATAGTTTCAGAGTGGGACCTCTTCCCAATTCTGGAAGAACCCCTACCATAGAGAGCTGTAAGTCAACCTGATTGGCTGGTAGTTTTGTAACCCCAGCAGCACCAGGACTGAGTGATTGTTGCTACTGAGATTAGTGCCAGTGTATAACTAAGAGGAGTCATTAAACCCAGACTCAGAGGTATGCCAAGTACTTTAGGCAGGCCTGGCTAAGAAACCCTAGTAGTGGGTATAAGGGAGTGGGGCCTGTATGCTAGAGGCCATAGTGTTTGTAGTTTAACAAGAGTTTTGACTTGGCGCTGGTGTGCCGAATGGGCATAGGAGATCCCCTAAAGGAAGTACTCAGCATTCTTGCCTGATCATAACGTGTGTTCTGAAAGCCGTTAGGTTACTCATCATGCCTCTGCCCTTCTCCATTGCAGGTTAAAAAAACAGTGGCAGAGGCAGAACAAAGGCCTTATGTTGATCATTAGTTATGTGACCACTCAATATGCCTTGGAGTGTGTGGACTGCCTTACACATTCTCCATCAAATAAAATATAGGGACAGATTAGGGATGGGTGAGAACACTACCCACTAATTTTACAAGCCCCCTCCCTCTGTGGATCTGTGAAATCCATCCCATGACTTTAATAAGAATGGTCAATGGGCCAATTTGGAAACAAAAGGAGTAGGTTTTGTCTTCATGTGAAAGTGCAAAACAGATAGTAAGGAATTGAAAGTCCATTTTATACCTTTCACAACTTTTATTTCCTTTGACTTTATGCCACACAAAAAAAAGTAATCATTGCAACAAAATAAATTGTTTTCATTTTTTTCTTCTCATCTGGACAGGCTTTGCTCCTGGTCTCTCTTTCATACCATTTTCTCTTCTCAGAAATCTCTGAGGGCAAAAATTACCTGGGAATAGCCTCCACTTAAATTCGTGTAGCTCGTCAGAGCAAGATGAACAAAAGGGAGCAAATGACAATACTGAAACCTTTCCTCTAACTGCAGAATACAATTACAGCAATTACACTGAGCTTGTTAACTGGCTGTCAGTTGGTAGACTTCTCACCTCTGAATCAGAAGGTTGCAGTTTCAAGTCCCTCTTAAGGACCCAAACTCAAAAAACGCTGAGACTGATACTTCAATGCACAACTGAGGGAGTGGTGCTCTGTCTGGGGTACCACCTTTTGGTTGAGTTGCTAATAAATACACATCTGCCTCTGAGATGGATACAAAGATTCCACAGCATTATTTTGAAGAACAGATCATTGGCCAATATTCATCCCTTAACCAACATCAAAAAAGGCATTGTCGCATCGATGATTGTTTGAACAAATTGGGTGTAAATTAGGTCTCCTAGATTACAAAAAAGATTGCACTTCAACATTCTTTATTGGCTGTGGAGCATTTTTGGCCATCCTGTTGTTAAGAAAACTGCAGTATAAGAACCAGACTCTCTTATTTCCACCTTCTGGTTCGAAAATGACAGAATAGAGAATTTTCTTGTGTTGCATCATAGTATCGCGGCTGAATGAAACGCACTCACTCCCCCCACTGCTGTTGGGACTTCTGTCATCGGTCAGGCCCCTATATTCCCAATCATGTGGGTAATAACACCATGTGAAAAATGCATTTGCACATATTTGGAGATTCTATCTGCTTCATCAACCAGGAATGTTTTCTCACAGCAATGTCCAATACTTGGCAGATTGGAATGCCTCATGTGACTCTGCACATTGCATTTAAGATTTTAATAAAGGTGATGCAAATGATTCTGTAAATCCGAAGTTATTAAATGGAAACAACAAAAGTGGAGAAATGTCATTATTATGTTCTTTTTCTGACAAAGGCACCTCTGAAAGCTTCCACAGCTGCCACAGTTTCTGCGGATAGAAGGGATGTGAAGGTAAGTGAAAAAGGATTAAAATATGAAATTACTTGTAGCAAACAGTATCAGCAGAGGAATGGCACAAATGGATCCATTTTGGAAATCTTTGCATTGCACTCATCAAAGACCTTTCTGCTGTCATCACAGAGCAGTTCTTAACACTAATAGCCTAATTGCAGTTGTCATGTTCCCAAATTTCTTTCATAAGGTAACTCCATCACAGTCTAGCAGATCTGACACTGTACAATGCTCCCAGTCTTTCATTCCAAACATTGTCACAGCCTTTCGATCTTCATCTACGCCTTGCTCTCCCACATGTACCAGCAGACTAATTCGGAAAGCAAACTTCAATCATACCAACCAGTGATTGTAAAAACTAAAGCCATGATTATCCCACTTTGCACACTTAATTTACAATTACCTGACTTCCTCGTCCTGAAGGAAAATGGTAAATATAGCAAATTTGAAATGTCTCATACACTCCATAACTATTTTATATGCAGCAGGAGTGAGTGTGGTGGGGCTGGGAGGGGTGTTAGAGGCATAGAGTTGTACAGCACAGAAACACACCCTGCAGTCTAACTTGTCTATGCTGACCAGATATCCTAAATTAATCTAGTTCCACTTGCCAGCATTTGGCTCATTTCCTTCTTAAACCCTTCCTTTTCATGTACCCTTCCATATGCTTTTTAATTGTACCAGCCTCCATCACTTCCTCTGGCAATACACAAACCACCCTCCTAGATGAAAAACCTGCTCCTTAGGTCCCTTTTAAATCTTTCCCCTCTCACCTTAAACCTATGCCCTCTAGTTTTGGACTCCCCTACCCTGGGAAAAAGACCTTGGCTCTAAGGTTTTGGAGTAGATCTGTAGCTCGAGTTGTGGGTGTTGAGGTTGGTTGGCAACAAACCAGCTTGAGCCAACCAACCTCAACAAGACCTTGGCTATTCAGTCTATCCATGCCCCTCATAATTTTATAAACCTCTGTAAGGTCACCCTTGAGCTTCCGAAACTCCAGGGAAAAAAGCCCCAGCCTATTCAGCCTCTCCCTATAACTCAAAACCTCCAGTCCCAGCAACATCCTTGTAAATCTTTACTGCATCATGTCAAGTTTAACAACATCTTTCCTATAGCAGGGAGACCAGAATTGAACACAGTATTCTAAAAGTGGCCTAACCAATGTCCTGTACAACTGCAACATGACATCCCAACTCCTATACTCAATGCAGTGACCAATAAAGGCAGAATTTGGCACTTCAAACAGACAGCCTGGAAGATTTTACTAGGAATGCTGGTCTGTGGAAATGAAGGGAAATGGGGGATTTCACATCGTGCCATTTTCCATCTGTCATCTCGGACTAAGAAAACATCTGTGAACCCACTCATGACAAACCCAGCTACCTCACCTCGGTTTTATTCCCAGTGGGTGTTAATTAGCTCAGGTCGAGAATCTCTGTTTCCATCTGAATAGAAGGATCCACCTTAGTGAGCCAATGGCCAGTTGTTTTGCTGGCAACTCATTAATTCCTGCAGCATCAGTGTGAGCAGTGGCCATTCTTGGACTGCAGCTGGAATCCAAAGAAGAGAAGGCTATGGATGGTAGACTGTGCTCCGTAAGTATTGAGAGCCTGCCAGACAAACCCTAGCTCAGTGGATGAGGGATGTGTGGGATGACAGAGGTTAAAAGTGGGAGGAGAGTGACATTGTACGGGAGGGGCAGAGATCTCCAAAGCAGGTTCCCACTTTCAAATTGCCATTTGCTGCAAAAAGATGGCCACAGGGCGGACAGGTTGCTTGTGGCTCAATCACCCCCTGTTAAGTGGAAGACAGGTCAGGGATCATTGAGGAAGGTGGTAGCAAGACCATCCATATTGGATTTTACACACTCCCTCACTTTCACACCAAACCAAGGGGAGGAGAAAATGCAGCTCCCCCTGTCACACCTCTCCTTAAGGACAAGGAAGTCAGGAAATTGTCGGTTAAGTGTGAGCCCTAGTTTCTTGGGTTTATTTTCCAGTAACATTTTTCACAACTCTAATATTATGTTTCCCTTGTGCTTTGTCACAAATTGAAAAAGTGTATTTTTTTTAAAAGGGTGAAGATCCGTTTGACCTGCTGGCAGGAACACTTCCAACACAAGCACCAGATGATTCAGGTCCAAAATACACTGGTCCTGAAGTGAAGGTACAAATGGAATTTATCTCCTGATTTTTATCTTTTATTATATTCCTGTGATTGCATTACACGTGGATCCACTTGATTTGTGAAATTCATACACATTAGTTTATATGGAATTAGCCACTGTTGGTGATGCCTATTTGCCAGTGCCACAACAACAACTTGCATTTATATGGCACAGCAATGGAGGACAGCATCACAAGGCATCTCACAATTTTTTTTCACGCACGGTTTGAAAGCAAGCCATATAAGGAGGCATCAGGACAGGTGTCCAACAGCATTTTAAAAAAAAAAGCAAGATATTTTGTGCAGTGTTTTAAAGAAGGAAACAGAATTAGGGAGGCAGTAGGACCTGGGGAGAGATTTCAAGAGCATATCACTATGAACAGCTCTATTCTTTCACAAGCTGCTTTTGCAGAGCCTTGAGTATCCTAATTGATTTATTCTTTCTCAAAATGTGGGTGTTGCTGGAAAGCCCAGCGTTTGTTGCCCATCCATAATGGCCCATGAACTGAATGACTTGCTTGGCTATTGCAGAGGGCAGTTAATCAGACAAGGTGCTGGGTCTGAAGTCACGTGTAGACTAGACCAGGTAAAGATAGCGATCTCCTTCCCCAAAGGATATTCTTCACTGAACTCATTAAACTAAGGTCATCATTCTGTGTTATGAGTGGATATTGAATCGTTATAGTTTATATGAACATCACAGCTGAGTAATTTTATTTCTCATATTTCCAGGAAGCAGATGTTACTAAGAAGAAAGCTGAGCGAGTGGGAGAGACTGAAGGATCTATACCGCCTGATTACAGATTTAAAGAACAACCTGATCCTAAGGTTTGGCCTGTCTGCCAATTTCAGCCAAGTCAAAAATTGTTTCAATTAACTTTGTATTTTCAATCTATATTGTTCCAACCAGGTGGGGACAGAGTATACAGCTCCCTCTTTTCAGTGTGTTCAGTTTGCCACAACAGATGTTTAAAGTTCTTTTCTAGCACAAGGCTAAACCTCTGTGTAATAAAAATGTAGTGATCTATTGTATCAGTAGGGAGCCAATTACAACCTTTTGATTGAAAAAAAACAATTTATTACCTGCTAATCCAAAGAAAAATGACACAGATGCAACCTCAAGCAGACATACACTCGGAAACAAAGTTAAAAAGAGAGAGACCAGTATGAGTGGAAGATAAAAGGAATATAGCGTTTACAGTCCTTCAGGTGTTCTCGAGCCTGTGAGTGTTAACCGGAGACCATGGTTGTCTAATTGGTATCTTGAGTCATTTGCAGCTGGAAAGTATTTCAGTTCTGTTACTACTCACTGGGGTAATGCACTGGAAATCAAACCCTGCTATTCCTGGAGTCATCACAAAAAGTCAAAGATATTAAAAAATATACAAAGATTCCCAATTTACCTGTCTTATAGACCCAGGTTAATAGAAAGCACAGACCAGGTTTGTGTAAAAAAAAACTACTTTTTTTTATATATATATATATATGACTTTTTTGAATGAGTTACAGATAAACAATTATGAATCATCAGCATATATCTCTACAAATTAAAACTCTAATCACCTTACAAACTCCCCTTTACACAAACAAATCGAGACAGAGAGGAAATAAAAACTGAGAAAACAGTTCAGTGGTTCTGGTTGACAAGGATTACAGAAATAATTCTTCTAATTCTTGTGCTGGTCAGAGTGCTGCCTCTTAGTTGCCCTTCTTCGATGCATCCATCGGTTTTCAAGTGGCACAGAGTAGCTGGTTCACTTATAAAAGGCCCCTGTCTTACCAATTAAATATCACAGTTTACAGCAAGCACTGACAGACTGGTTTTCTTAGTGGCTTCCAAGTTTAAAGTGGCTTATCAAGGTCAGATAAAGAGACCCTAAGATGGTTGCAGTCTGAAAGTTTCTCTGTAACTTGTGGGTAACTATGTTTCAACCTCACTGGTATACCCTTGGTGACCATTGTGAAGTGTGCTTCCTTCAGTTTTGGAATAAATTTTGCCCTAGCATGTTCTCCTACTGCCTTCAAGTGGGTGTTTAGCTTCTGCTGTACTAACCTATGGCTCTTCCACTACATAAGACTTCACCTTCATGTTTTCCTGGCCTGTCTGAAAAGACCTCTGTTCTCCATTGAAGTTTACCATTAAGGTATCTGTTAACGAGATCTGTGACTCCACCCTGTGATATTTGTCACCTTCCCTGGCTCGTTCGTTCGTTCGTTCGTTCTTTATGGCTTTCTATCTAACTGTGGAGCTTTTAACTCCTTTGGGTTCTGACATGACTCTTTCTGCTTCTGCTGGCTGGACTTCAGCATTCACCCAGTTTTGTGATCCCCTGTAGGGCTTTTGAACCTATTTCAGTTCCCACTGCCACTTTGCTTTTCCAGCTGACTTTCTCACAAACTTTGCAGTCTCTCTGGATTGTATCTTTACTTTTTGAGCGATAAGTTTTACTACCAGCAAAACCCTGTTCCGAAGAAGGATCCCGACCTGAAACATCGATTTTCCTGCCTCTCTGATGCTGCCTAGCCTGCTGTGTTCCTCCAGCTCCACACTGTGTTAGCTCTGACTCCAGCATCTGCACTTCTTGCTATCTCTTTTTTGCCACCAGCAATGTCTGATGACTGAATTTGAAAATCAATTTGGATATTTTTTATCATTCTTGCAACTTAATGCTTTTGCAATTTGAATTATTTGATTGATTGACTGGCATCATGGATCAATGCAGTCTGAAATGCTGAACTAAGTTAATACGTTTATAAGACTACTTCACTGGCTGCTGTTAAATCTAAGTACTTCTGATACCGAAAGAAGTATCTGATGAGGCTTGTTTCTTGAAACAGGATAAAGGTAAAGTGGCTTTGTCATCTTCTGGTCCAGGAGCAAAACCCAAAGAAACAGAGAAGGTAAAGTTGAGAGTTTTCTTCTCGGTTCTCTGCAGTAAAACTCCTCGGCGCTGTTCTGCGTTGATATCACTTGTCCCTAATTGTAACACAGGCAGTGATAGGGGCCTTTTAGAGGATACCACTTTACTCCATACCAGGCTTAGAGCCAGCAGTGATATTAAATTAGGTTTATTGTCACATATACTCACATGAGTACATGAAAAGCTTCCAAGCCCCCGCTTACTGCGCCATCTTAGGTAAAAGGTATTTGGTACATAATCTTACTTTCTTCCCTCCAAGCTGATATCCCAGTTTATCCAAGATTGGAGGATAAACTGGTTTTGGGGAGGAGGATGAGCGACAGATAAATGTACTTGTAACATAAGGAATCTTCAAACTGAGAATAAAAAATATGGCTCATTGAAATTCATTCCATTTGGCACTCCCCCATTTCAGGGCATTTTCCTTGCATTTTGCCAACTGTCCAAGTGGAAAGAAAATGGAAATTTAAAAAAGTTAATAGATTTTGCAAGTTCACATTTCTAGATCTTGTAGACTTACTGGTTAAACTGGATTCTTTGTAAAGAATTTGGCATCTGATAAGTCTAAATGTACAAAAGAAAATATGGACGAAGTATGTTGGGAGCTGCAACCTGGTGGAGGTCCTGACATATAGTTCCTTGTGGAAATTACGCGGAAAGATTCAATTTCCAATAGACAATTCCTCTGTTCCTTGGAGAATGATCGGGGCAGATCTATGTGACTTAGCTGCAGAATTACCCTGGAAATATTAGACCATTCTAGTGATTCTAGTGATCTGACTCTTACATCACCCTCCTGACTATCTGACTAGTCCCCCTCCCCATACCATCCAACTATCCCCCTCAACTACTACGCAGATACCCCTAAGTCAGACCACCGACTCCCTGGACTTTCCAAATAATCCCTCATTACCCCTCAATCAGCCACTGCCAATCCCAAATATCCTCCCGAACACCCATACACTATCCCATCTAGACCCACTGGTTTGACGTAACCTGACTTCTGACATCATAGTCCCCCCTCAACACAAGCTAACCACCTACCTGTTTATACCCTGGCTAATGCTGACTGTTTCCTCATTCAGACCTGACTACTGCCCTAACACTCGATTACCTCTGACACAGCTATCCAACACATGCACTTACACACCTACCATTCACTCACTCAGCCACTTACATATTGAGATATCTACTCGCTAACATCAGAACACATTATATAATTATTTTGAAAGAGATTTTTATCCTTATTCTTTCATGTAATATGGACATTGCTGGCAATTGTTTTCCTGCTGCTATTTGCCTTTGAGTAGGCTGATTGAGTCATAGAGTCATACAGCACAGAAATAGACCCTTTGGTCCAACCAGTCCACACCAACTGTGTTCCTAACTAAACTAGTGCCACTTGCCTAACATGAACTTAACCAAATGTCTTTTCAACATTGTAACTGTACCCACATCCACCACTTCCTCTGGGAATTCATTCAACACATGAACCATTCGCTGTGTAAAAAAAATTCCCCCTCATCCTTTTTAAAGTTTTCTCCTCTCACCTTAAAAAATATGCCCCCTATTTTGAATTCAAAAGATCCCTGCAATTCATCTATCTATGCCCCTCAAGATTTTATAAACCTCCATGAGGTCACCCCTCACCCTCCAACATTCCAGTGATTGATTTAATTTGAACCCATGTTCCCAGAACATTAACATGGGCCTCTAGATTACTAGCCCAGTGACATTATCACTACACCACTGTCTCTCTGCCACTGGTCCTGACTATTATCCATTCTGATTCAGTTACCCAGAGCATGCTGCTCTCCTGGGCTTTTTGCTCAGTGGCAATGCAAGTATCCAGTTCCATTCATGATTTATACATGTTTGCGCATTGCTCCTCTTTGTTTTCCAGTGTCACTGGTGTTGTTTCAAGGAAACATAAATTGTGAGCATAACTGAAGCTTGCAGAAAATTGGAACTGAGAGACATTATCCACCATTTTCCCTTGCATGTTCCAGATTTTGAATTGACAGATATTACCTCTCCATCTGTCTTATGGGTAAAACTGACATATAAGAACCTAAAGAGCAAGAAGGGAAAATAATGGAGTTATATCAACGTTTCTTAGTTTGTGTTTCAGTATCAAGGGAATGAGGCCTTTGCCCCTGTATTTATTAATACCTTTTGAGGTGTTTGAACTGCATTTGTTGTATTGTCATTGCAGAAAATGACAGATGATGATGTCCTGGAGTCACTGTCAGCAGATTTTGTCCACAGCTCTCCAGCTCCAATTTCAAAATGCTTCGCTCCAACGTCTCACTCGGCAGCTCTACCATCTGTGCCAAAGGAGGTATGGCATCAATCTGAGACTGCAGTTGGAGGCTGGGAATTCTGCAGGGGTGCTTCCTGGTGATGGTGGTTTTGGAATTCAGTTGGTTGCTGATATCGGTAGTTGGTGATTGGTGTTACACAAAGCTCTAATGTATCCAAAGTCACTAAATGCCAACCTCAGTCATTTAATTATGAAGCTGAGGTTTTTGGTTTTGTACAATCGGCAAAGTGTATTTTGTTAATTTGTCCTTTTTCAGATTGATACCCTCCAACCAGAACACACATTCCCTCAAATAAAGGTATAAATACTGTAGATGCAGTAAGAAAAATATAAACAGAAAGTACTGATTAGTTTCAGCAGGTTGGTGAACAGCTGAGAGAAACGGAGTGAACATTTCAAGTCCATTATGTTTCTCTTTTTCAAAAAAAAGGTCCTCTGTTCTCCTGGGTGGCTTTCTCGGAGGGAGGAAATGCATTTAATTGGGATAGGGCTGGTTTACCTGAATCCCACTGTCACCAGAATTAAGTTACTGGTTGGCCTACAAGCCTAAAAGCTGCACCTGTGTGTTTTGTGCAGTGTTTTTCCAGCACTTTCTGGCTTTTATTTTACATAATCCCTCAGCTCCTTTGCAACCATATTGTCTTCCGATATCTGAGTCCAAAAATGAATTGTGAACAATCTCCACCTACATTCATATAACCAGCACTGTTAGTAAATCACCAGAAGTTGCATATCAGACGGCAAATAATCACAGTCTGGCAGGAGTCCTCAGCTCTACTGGACAGAGGTGGGCATTCTACTTGATGCTATTCTCATTGGCTGCCCAATAAAGGATGGTGGTTGCGTTCTCAATGCTGCCAACCTAATCAGTGGGCTGGGAGCTTTGGAGCACAGTGCCTTCACCTTTATGTCCACTGTCTTTGGCCCATATTTGGAGAATGGAACCTCCAGCTGTTCAGGCCCAAGGTATCTCCCAATTGCAAGTGTTCAATATAATGAGATTTGAAAGCTATTCTGTCTTTGTAAGTTGTATTATGTACTGAACACAAATCTTTGTCACAATGGACTTGTAGAATAATCAATACTGCCCATTCAACCTGAATAGAGGGTAAATACAGACAAAACTGAACTGTAAGCCATACTGGTTTACAGATCACTGCAGAGTGCAAGAAACCCTTTCCCTTCAGAGTAAAGCAATTTACTGTCTTTTCCATTTAACAAAGTTCTTAATGTTTCCTGTTTGTGCGCTGGATCTCATGATTTATGGTTATAAATGATGTAAAATCACATGTATTGTCGTATTAAAGTGATGGTAGAAAACAACCAGGATAATTGGTATGCATCAAACATAATTAAGTTAAATTAAAACCATCATTGAAATTTTAATTTCTTTCTTGAAAGGCACCTTTGAAAGCTTCGACAGCTGCCCCAGTTTCTGCGAGTCAGACTGGCACCAAGGTAAGTGACAAAATAAGAGTGAAATGTAAAGAATTACATTTGCAGCAGACACAGGCCAGTGGATTAAATTCTTAATTTGTACTCAAGGTCCTTATTCAGTTTTTAATGTGTAAATGGATACCCTGATCTTTGGACAAAATCTTATCTTTTTACATATAATTCACATATAATGGAGGACCCTGCCATTCATTTATTTGTAGTACCTCCGCACAGCTTTCCCTCTTCCAATGCCCTCCAAGCCCAGACATATTTAGATAGAGGGCCCTGGAAAATATATAGCATGAATTTTTCACTGCTGATGACATGGAAACTGTCAATGCAGGCTTCGTTGCTCCAATAAAACTGACAGTTCATTCAGGAGTGCAGAATAAGATGGAAATTAAGAAATTTTTGTCAGTCCCCCACTTTTCCAGAGCGGATGTTGAGCACCGTCCACTGTCCAATTCCAATGAATTGACAAAAAGTTCCACTGTTCTCTCCTTGCCTTCCTAAAGAGATATCGAAACAAGAGTTGGTTATTTAGCTGCTCAAGCCAACTATGAATTTTTTTTTTGGATCAATTCCTTTGGACATGTTATAGCACACCTTGAAAGCAGGTGCTCGCCTTGAATTAAGTTTCTGCTCCAGAGGCAGGTAAACCAGCAGTGCACCACAAAAGACCCTCAAGCCTATTCTATCATTAAATAAGATCACTGCTCTACAGCCTTATTTTATGTAACTGCCTTTGCCCCATATCTCAGGATACCCTTAGTTAACCAAAACCTATCAATCTCGTGCTTAAAATTAACAATTGATCTGATATCAATTGCTATCTGCTGTCTGCTGATAACGGTGTAAAGTTACTGCTGATGGGAGGTGCAACTAGTTTGTTGACAACCCAAACTCATCACAGTCATTCACGCTCAGTGCTGAACTGCTCCTTGACAGTCTCAACATTCAGGCTAGGCAGAAAGCCCCCTTAGGTGGCCAGTAGTTACGCACTTAATAAGTTAAGGACCTCAATTGCGATGCAGGCAGGTGAGATGGTCATCGCCCAGATCTTATAAAATTGCAGATAAATCGGGGTTAAGTGAAAGACTGACAGGAGAGGCAGGGAATTTTACCAATCTCTCTTCCTGCAAACCACCAGTGGGGTCAATGAATTCGGTCACTGTATTCTGTCACTGTATTTGGATCTCCATGGGGATCACTTGTCCAGACCTCTGGATTACTTAATAAAAACCAAAAGAACTGCGGATGCTGTAATGTAGAAACAAAAACAGAAGTTGCTGGAAAAGCTCAGCAGGTCTGGCAACATCAGTAGAGAGAAGTCAGTATCAACATTTCAGATCAAGTGACCCTTTCTCAGAACTGACCTGAAACGTTAACTCTGATTTCGCTCCACAGATGTTGCCAGACCTTCTGAGTTTTTCCAGCAATTTTTGTTTTTGCCTCTGGATTACTTGTCCAGCTTACAGGATTTTCTAGTAAACCCTGAAACGCATCAGTATTAGTGTCCTGAACTATAACTTGGGGTGGTGAGATCTGCATTTTAACCACACAGTGGTGTAAGCCCTGCTTGAAATAATTCAGCTGTCTGGATTTTAAATAAAGTGACCAAAAAGTGAGAACATGCCTTTTTATTTTTAAAGGATGAAGACCCATTTGACCTGCTGGCGGGAACACTTCCATCACAAGCACCGGACAATTCAAGTCCAAAATACACTGGTCCTGAGGTGAAGGTACAAATGAAATTTGTTCCTCCTGATACTTTTCATCTTTAAATAACTTTCCTTTCAGTACACCATACCTGGCTTTTGTTTTAGTCTTTATCTGCATGTTAGGGGAGCACACTAATTAATCCCAAACCTTTGCTTCAATCCCACAATTCTGTATTTTTCCCCTTTGTTTTAGCTATGCTGTGTCTTTTGATGTGTATTGTCTAAATAAGATGGTAAACAGAAAGTCTTCCTGTTTGTTCAGATTGATATAAGATTTCATACAATGATGCAGTCATAGGAGTTTCCTATGTGCAAGTAAGTAAATAGTGAATTGATGCTCCCCGTTCTTCCAAGAGTATTCAAATGATCCTCACTTTCTATTCTACGAAATTCGCCATTTTGAACTTGTCAATGGATTTTCTGTCATGGAAAATTTGGAATCTGCCAAATGTTTGAGTATGGAAGCAGAGAGGATGAATGATTTCAGCAGAAAATTGATGAGTAGTTGAGGGAAATAAACTCACAGTGCTTCAGGTATAAAATGGGGGAATGGAACAGATTAAACTGCTCTACAAAGGGCCAGCATGAAATAACGGGGCCACATAGTCTCCTCTTGTGCCATTATGATTCTGTGGGTAGAATGTTTCACAGAGGCAGTGACCCCACCAATTGGTTGAAATATCAGTGTCATCTCTGCCAGTGCTGGAAGGCAGGAATAGATTTTAGTCATCAGGCAGCTAACTGAGCGGAACTCAGCATACTGAGCCCAAAACCAGGCCACCAGTGTTTACTTGGCACCACTGGCATGTGACATGGCCATTCATACTGATTGTCAATTGGTTGAAGGGTAGGGCAGGCTGCCCACAACCACGTAAGTACTGGTAAATCTCAGTGCGGTGGATAAGCAATGGACATCTACTTCCTGAGGGGTGATGGCACTTAAAATTCTGACCCATGTTACTTTGTGACAATTAAGTGACAAGACTACATCACCATTGGTGATGTTGGCTTTTAATATTTACTTGGCATTTTGTTTTAAAGAAGGCACTGCCTTGGTGGTTGTGTAATCTCTTCTCGAATAAAAGTCCTATTGGAGTAACCATCTGGGGAGTGATCAGCAGTGCAGAGAACTCGGAGAAGTTCTATGTTAGACAAGACTGTGTAACATTTGTATGTCAAGAATCGTCATTTCAACAATAAACTTCATGATAAAAAGTGTTTCCTTTCGGAATGGCTTTAGTAAATGTAATATTTCACAGAGTAATAAATAATATTGATAAATATCTTGCCTTTGCAATCCTCCTTGTGCTAATGAAATTCTTGGTATGAATGACAGCTGTGAAGCCTCAGATTTTGGGTAGAACATATTAGAAATTCAGGCATGGACTGCAAACAATCTTTAAATGTTCCAATACTTAAGACAGCTTCTTGTGACTGAGGTAAATGACCAGGCGTTGCTTTCTGTATTCATCGTTTTAATCAACCAAAATTTACCAAATTTACTGAAAAAGCACTCAACTGAAGAAATTATCGACAACAATTAACTCTTGAACACAAATCAGAATCATGAATTATCAGCCAATGTTACTTCAAGTAAACCGACAATTTTGCTTTAAATATTCCATGCAACAAACATAAGTTTTACGTTATCATAAAAATCCATATTCTCAATAAAAGCGTGGCCTAACTTGTCCTCCTCATGTAGAAAGTCTTGCTTTCCCACTCAATTGATTTAGAATCGAATTATGTTCATTGGTAGCTGTGTTCCATCTGAGCAACTCATAGAATGTCAGCATACTAAAAAGGAATGTTCTTGATCAACCCCTTCCATAAATACTATTAAATAGTCTTCACTGGAACTGCTGCTGCTTCAATTCATGATTCCTGCTCTAACCATATCTTTGGCTTTCTGTTTGTTTAACTCTATTACACGCAGCACATTACAAGTATGCATTGTCTCCTTTCCCTCTGCTGTGGGTCTCCTTTGTGTCTGGCCACAGGGCTTTCATAATGTTTACTTCCTTCCTACTGGTAATGCTTCCAGGTCTCTCAGATCAATGTTTCTTATTATTCAAGAAAGTTACGACTGATTCCTTTACAATTAATCCAAATTCTTAAAAGTCCTTTCTAAACGTTCATAAAACCAATGACAGATTCCACAGATATTTTTTAAAATTGCAAATTCTTCTTACTCTGCTGATTCTAGGTCAAACACTGAATATAAGTCCCTGTTCATCACCATTGCTGCCAAAGTCTGTGCATGTTTTTAACAGGGAGTTTTTAAACAAGTTTCCTAAATCTGATTTTAATTCAACCAACTCAAGTCAATCACTTTACTGAAGTGATCCTGCCATCTATGTTTGGGGCAGCACAGTGGCTCAGTGGTTAGCACTGCTGCCTCTTAGCACCAAGGACATGGGTTCAATTCCAGCCTCAGGTGACTGTCTGTGTGAAGTTTGCATATTCTACCTGTGCCTGTGTGGGTTTCCTCCGGGTGCTCCAGTTTCCTCCCACAGTCCAAAGATGTGTAGGATAGGTTGATTGGCCATGCTAAATTGCCCATAGTGCCCAGGGATATTTTGGTTAGTTGGGTTAGCCGTGGAATATCAAGGGTAGGGGAATGGGTCTGGGTGGGATACTCTTCAGAGGGGCCATGTGGATTTGTTGGGCCAAATGGCCTGTTTCCACACTCTGGGGACTCTGATTCTATAAAGCATTTTACGTTGAAGTTAAACCTTAGGATTTAATTCTTATATTTTCAGGAATCGGATGCTAAGAAGAAGAAGGCTGAACGAGTAGGAGAAACTGAAGAATCTATACCCCCTGATTACAGATTCAAAGAACAACCAGATCATAAGGTTCAGTTCAACACATAATTTGAATCAGGCCAATGATTATTTCAATCACCTTGCATTTTCAAAATAATGTCCATGTACAGAAGTTTGATAAAAATTTCTGCAGTGATATAAAGTGAATAGAAATTGCAGAGATCACAAATATAGTTCATTGGATTTTCTAAAATGTAGCAATCCCATGCAGATTGCCAAGGGTGCCAGGGTGGTCAAGTCTTGGGGTGTAGTGGAACCCTCTAGATTCTCCAATTTACATGGATACCTTCAGAGGGTTCCAAATGCAGGAGAGTCATCCAGTGCAATCTTCAATTTCCTGGACAATTCTTTTGAGGTTTGCTGCAATGGGCATTTTGGAGGATGCCAAGTCATTGAGTGTCTTTAAGACAGAGACAGAGACAGATAGGTCCTTGATTTGTAAAGGGATCAAGGGTTTGGGGACAAGGCAGGAGAATTGAGATGAGAAATATACCAATCATGGTAGAATGGTGCAGCAGATTCTGTGGGCCAACAGGCCTAATTCTGCTCTTGTATCTTATTGTCCCCATGCGCATCTTCCATCTGTGCTTCTGAAATGATTATCTGGCCATCAGAAAATCAAGGTCAATGTTTCATGACCACTTATATGCATTTACAACAGTAGAAATGATTCTTATATCATGCACCACAAGTAATTGAACAGGGAATGACAAAATAAAAATTGCAGATAAATTAAAATTAATAGTAATGCACACCAGTATTCTCCATTCGTTAACCTACTATGTTATAACCTTGTTTCTTCTAACAGGATAAAGGTAAAGGGCCCTCTTCCTCCACTGGTCCAGGAGGAAAACCAAGGGAAACAGAAAAAGTAAAGTTCCATTTTTTGTTCTTGTAAGAGCATTAGGTTCTCTACATTAAAACTATTCAAGTCACTATTCCATTGGGTAGTAATAATTATTTAGCTGGTAAGATAAAGATAGCGCTTAATGTTTTTATGCAGGATACTACTTTACTTAGGCTCAGCAATGATACTCTAGTTATTGGAGGGCCGTCATGTTTACAAAAACAAAAATGATGAGTGTTGCGTCATTCTTCACAATGTTATGTGAAAGAATAAAAAGAATGTGAATGTACTTGGAACATGAAAAAAATCAACATGAGAAAATCAAATTTGGCTCACCATTAATTCATTTCCCTGTGACTCTTACCATTAGAACGCTTCATTCATCTTTCTTTGACTATCAGAATAAAGGTATTTTTAAATATTAGTGTCGTTATTGTTTTTCTTTTACAAGTGCCAGATTCCAGATCTTGTAAATTTAGTGATTAACTATAGTTTTACTTGGACAAGGTGGCATTATTTCATCTTTTACAGAGATGCTAAGGTGCTGTATTAATTTTATTATATATTTGCATGTTCTCACTGCTTCTAATTGTAATTTTCACCATCTGCAGTGAGATTTTGTAGAAACATAAGGTGCAAGCCTAAATGAATAAACATAAACAAAAGGGCAGCATGGTGGCTGAGTGGTTAGCACTGCTACCTCACAGTGCCAGGGACCTGGGTTTGATTCCACCCTCGGGCGACTGTCTGTGTGGAGTTTGCATGTTCTCCCCATGTCTGTGTGGTTTTCCTCTGGGTGCTCCAGTTTCCTCCCACAGTCCAAAGATGTGTAGGCTATGTGGATTAGTCATGCTAAATTGCCCCGTAATGTTCAGGGATTTGTAGATTAGGGGGATGGGTCTGGGTGGGATGCTCTGAGGGTCGGTGTGGACTTGTTGGGCTGAAGGGTCTGTTTCCACACTGTAGGGATTCTATGATCTATGAATCCTGCGAAAGGTCAGAAATGAGAAATTATGATGCGCACTCTCTTGTATGTTCAAATGTGGGATTGATCATGTTCACCTTGCTCTTTCCACTGGGTAACATAATATCTCAGAACCTCAAAAAACCAGAAGGAAAAATTCTGTGATTAATGGCCATCGATTAATTTGTGCTACAAGTTGAGGATTATTTGTATTTGTACACTTGATGAGCTAAATTAACTGCATTTATTACATTGCTATCACAGTGTACCTCAGAAGTTGACGCCCTGGATACTTTGTCAGCAGACTTTGGCCTTAGCTCCCAAGCTGTGATTTCAAAATGCTCAGCTGCAACCTCTCACTCGGCAGCTCCACCATTTGTGCCAAAGGAGGTACGGTAACAATCTTAGACTGTTAGAGACTGCAGCTGGAGTAGGCTGGATATTCTTAGGACCATTCCCTGTTTCTGGATTTGTATTCTGATTTGGTCATAGTTAACCACAAGACCAATCAGGGAACATAAAGGGTAGATGTTGCCTTTGTGCTGTAGAAAGTCATCAGCTCTTTATGTTTTTACAACCTATGTTTTCAAATGACTGTTGTTTTTAACTCTCTTACCGACTTATACAATTCTATCGGCTCACCTCAGCCCCATTCTCTCCTATGAGGCATTTGAGGCTAAACGTTAATAAGAAATGGCCTTATCTTCATTCATGCAAGTAGCACAGATAATTCATTGCAGAAAGTTGCACAACCAATGCACTAATAGTAACATGCTTATTTCTGTCATTTTGCTTTGCACAATCTGAGCAGTTAGGACATTATCTTGAATTTAAAAGACATCTTAAGGATTTTGCTTCTGAAATCTGATTTATTTGCTTTTGTTTATGTTTGCAATTGGTGTAATATCATGTTTGAAGTCTTTCAAAACTGGAGATTGAAATGAAATGATCAAAATCTGAATAGAAATAAGTGAAATTGAAATAACAGTTGTATTTTTGTTTTGCGCAGGTACCTCTGAAAGCTTCAACAGCTGCCTCCGTGTCTGCAAGTCAAGGTGATACTAAGGTAAATGACAGAGGAAGAAAATGGGATATGTCGAAATTTCTGTTTATGATCGAAACATGTTTGTGGGTTTCAGTCTCAATTACAGAATAAGAGTCAAAACCCTTTGGGGAGAAAAAAATAATTTTTGTAAATATAAAACACTGCAACAACTGTCAGAGTGAAAACTGGTAATTTCTATATATCCAGGATGTTCTTCTGAAACTGATGGTTTGATGCCTTAACAATACTAATCGGGCACTCCATACAAATTTTGGACTCCCGTTCCAAAGAGTGCATAAGCAGAATGCACCTCGAACAATGTAGACTCCATTGTATTTTTCCAGGTCTGAAGGGAGCCAAAATTCCTTTAAGGAACCATTGGAGATTGCCAATGGGGTGGATAACTTCAATTTAAATTTAAATGGATTAAATTTAACTTTACTGGGTGGAGTGCTCCACTTGACTACAAGAGAACTGGGATTTCTGCTGAAATGGGCTTAATTCTCTTATGGTGCCCAAACTCCTGGAGTGACTTTATGGGTTAGTTTGATGTTGAGACTGTGTAATTTTCTTGAGACCTGTGAGCTGTGTCAGGATAGCCGCCTTACATCTGCAACTAGCTACAATTCACACATATCCCAATTTCCAGCAAGTCTTTGATTTTGGAGCTCATTGCCTTCAGGATGCCTATTTTCGGGTGGTTTCTGGCATAACACAAATTCCTCTGCCTTTTTTTTGGCATGAGATCTCATCAGCTCCTTACAAACTGAAGAAATTTGAGGGTTTACTTGTTGCACATCTGTTGTGATTTTTGTGCATTCTATGCCACAGCGAACAACAGTGTGTCTTTCATGTCACTTGTAAGATATTGTTTTTCCAAAAATTATGTTTCTTCGTATTTATACTGCGCATTACCAGCAATGACTTCTCCCTCTGTTATGTGAACTACTCCAGTGTCCTCTAGATCACACCCTTTTGCTACTCTTGTTCTTGTACCACCTCTGGGAGAAATTATCCAAAAGCAATGTATTAACTCAAAGAATCTCACCAATTCACTTGGCACTGATGCGTTGATTGCTTGCATCATGACTGCTGAAATCTTGGTGAACTTTGCCCTCCTGCACTGAGTGAGCTGTGAGGAACCTGCAAGACGACACACCAGGTTTGCATGAGACAGACAGTTACTAGCATCTCTACAAGAAGGGCAGCACGGTGGCTCAGTGGTTAGCACTGCTGCCTCACAGCTTTGGGCAACTGTCTGTGTGGAGTTTGCACATTCTCCCTGTGTCTGCGTGGGTTTCCTCCAGGTGCTCTGGTTTCTTCCCACAGTCCAAAGATGTGCAGATTAGGTGGATTGGCCACGCTAAATTGCCCATAGTGTTCAGGGATGTGTAGCTTAGGTGGGTTATAGGGGAATGGATCTGGGTGGGATGCTCTGAGGGTTGGTGTGGACTTGTTGGGCCAGAGGGCCTGTTTCCACACTGTAGGGACTCTATTCTAAGACTTCATGCACCTGTTTACGGTAAGTAACTGAAATATTTGTCCCCTGGCATGCTGAAAAGATTGGGTTATCCAGCTGCATGCCTAAATCATGTCATGAGGATGGGACCCCGCAATGGAGTTTAATGAAGTACTTACATTTTTGGGCTCACCATGAATTAAATGATGATGAGTATTGGGCCTGGGATTGCAATCTAGATGTTCCTGTGCAACGAGAGACCCTTTGCAACTGCTCCACATGGCCCTTCTGCCTGTGTTTATCACAGTCAGCTCTTCCAGGATTGTAATCATTTTCCCACTTCCTCAAGGTTTCTGTTTGAGTTTCTATTTGTGACAGAAGGCTGTGTTTTACAGGAGCCATGGGATAAGACCTTGAGGGAAGAGATTGCATTTCTCTGGTTGGTGCAGGGGATAGCAAAGGAGTCCATCCATCCCCAATGCCTGACACCATTCCACCCAGAAGAGTTGCTGGGCTACCTGCTTTCAGTAGAATCCCCTACAGTGAACAAAATAATAGTGGAGGAAGGTTGAGGGAGTTAAGTAGTCTGTAAATGGTCACAAGGATAGATAGGCTATCCAATCCTTCCACTACCTCATGTAAAAGGGGAGACTGTCACAGGCAGCCAGGAAGGCAGCAAAAGACTATTTTTATGAGCTGTTCCTGCCTTCAGACACACTGTCAAGAGATTGTCCTGGCAGAAAGCCCATTGCTAAGAATGTTGCAGACCTTGGGTATTTCAGGGACAAATATGGAAGTGGACAAATTTGAAATAAAAGGATTGTTATTAGATTGTAACCTTGAGAGGTTGAGACTTTTGCACTGGCTAAATGCATTCAGTTAATCAATGATCAATTACACTCACCTTTCAGAGTGCTTCAAAATTGAAAGCATAGTCCTCCTCATAATATGGCTGGATTCCAGAACATGACCATCATTCCAATGTTCAACATTGTTAATAAAGTAAAATGTGACAAATTACAGAACAAAGAGCACCTTTTTAAAAAAGGATTTTTATTGTTGACCTGTTTAAGAACTGCTAGTTGTCCCCTGAACAATTCTGTTCATCCGGCTGGCTGTTTAAATATGAAAGCTAAAATGATCTTGTATTTGGAAATTACACATTACACGTAAGCAGCAGTTACTTGAGTTCTCTTTTCAGTAAATATTTCTCCACTGTCGGAATATGTTTCATTTGATCACTGTTAGTAAATGTATAATAGTACTTTTTGTCTTTAAAGGGTGAAGATCCATTTGACCTCTTGGCAGAAACATTGCCAACAGAAGCACCAGACAATTCTGCTCCCAGATACACTGGCCCCGAAGTGAAGGTGCACATAAATTTATCTCCTGATGTGTTTGAGCGTAAAAAGGTTTAATTTACTGCCTCATATGTTGGTTAATTTCTTGAGTCTAATATAAATTCTACACAGGCTGTTGATAACACAACGCTATCCCCAGTCTATTGCTATCACTGTGCCATGGTAAAGTTAATACTTCCTGTAACATATTAAAAGACTGCCTGTTCTCCAGAGATGCTTCTACAATTGCCCTGAATGTCTTAATATTAACTCATATTCATAAACTGACTTGAGCATATTAGAATTGTGCGAAACACTTCATACGTGTATAATGAAACAAAGACAATGGATGAGTAATTTGGGAAAGTGATCAAATCCTTGTTTGAAAAGTTGAGTTTTGGGAGGGGTTTGAAGGAGAAGGCATGGGGTGACTTTGAGGATGTCCTGTCCCAAAGTTCAGTTTGAGGTCCTTTTTGTTTTACTGGACATGGATACTAAGCTTAACCTGGTGTGAAATTGACGTTGAGAAGACATGTTTCCAATAGCAATGTAGTTGTCGAATTGAAAATATACCAGTTATTAGCATTTCATTGAATCTGCTCAAGAGTGCTGGCTGTTTTTTTTTTAAATTCATTCATGGGATGAGGGCAGCGTTTGTTGCCCATCCCTAATTGCCCAGAGGGCAGTTACAAGTCAACCACATTGCTGTGAGTCACATGTAGGCCACACCAGGTAAGGATGGTAGTTTCCTTCCCTAAAGGGCATTAATGAACCAGATGGGTTTTTCCCCCAACAAGAGAGGATGGATTCACGGTCATCATTAGTCTCTTAGTTCCAGATATTTATTGAATTCAAATTCCACCACCTGCCGTGGCGGGATTCGAACCCGGATCCCCGGACATTATCTGGGTCTCTGGATTAACAGTCTAGCGATAATACCACTAGGCTATCACCTCCCTTGGCTAAGGGTTCACTGGAGTAACGTGAGTTTTTCAGGCTTAGTGCTGCCTGTGCAAAGAAGGAGGGGGAAGTCAAGAGATAGAAGGGTTTAGATACTTAATTAAAAGAAAACTGGTAAACCTGCAGAAGTCCTACTGTAAATTCCCCAAGCTGTAAAAACAAACCAAGTGAGGTGATTTGTAGTAGCAACATTCTTTATCATAATCTTTCCAATGTTCCCAGATGGCCTCAAAAGTATATCTGTATGTAAAGTATTGTCCCCAGGGCTTTATTCCTTTCCATATGCTTACAAGACATTTTCCAATGTTCATAAATCTCTAAACCACCACCAGTGCTCTCGAACACTGACAGCATCTCTCTGAATCTTCATGACTTCAGAACTAGTTTGGAATGAGGAATGAATGTGAAAGTCAGATCAGGGACCTGACTGAAATGGGAAAGAATAAGTGTATTGTTGTGAAGCAGGACATTTAACTTTGCAGTTACATTGATTGAGTGCATGAGTGTTACCTCTGTTTAGTCAAGTGTCCATCGCATTCACCCTACAGGGCTACCTATTCTCATAATCAACAGGTATAGATCTATTTATAGTGACCTGTGTCAACTGGTATTAATGCACAAAGGAGTAAGGTTTAAGTACAATTAGCTAATTACCTATGAATTATTTTACAGAAGTACAGTGTATCGATATTGAATCATAATATTTTGTGAACTTTGTTTCTCACGTTTCCAGGAAGCAGATGTTACTAAGAAGAAGGTTGAGCGAGTGGGAGAAACTGAAGGATCTATACCCCCTGATTACAGATTTAAAGAACAACCTGATTTGAAGGTTTGTTCCAAACCAGTAATTGATCTTACAGTCGCAAGTTCAAGATATGCTTATGTCCAGAACACCTAGACATAGCTTTTACTGGTTAAATGCAAAGCTGCACTTTTGCATCTTTGAGCTTATGTAAAAAGATTCTGAAATCATAGATCACACTGAATCTGGCAGTAAAATGCCAAAAGATTAAATTACCTACTAGCTATTCTTAAACTGAAGTCAGTACACACCAGTGTCCTTCACTGTTTGATCCAGCTAGATTTTAATTAAATAATGTGATTATTTAGTTTCTGATGAAATGAAGTCTGTATTAATGTGCATACAGTACATTTCCCCTTGATTCATTTATTTTTAACATGCTAAGGCATTTTATTAAAATTGAATGTTGCTTTACCAGCAGTTTCAACTTTAAATAATTCTGTTGCTCTAAGACGAATCTGATTTTCTTTGGACCAGGACAAAGATAAAATTGCCCCTTCATCTACTGGACCAGGAACAAAACCAAAGGTAACAGAGAAGCTAAAAATCAAATTGTGTTTTTCATGAAGGAGAATTTTATTTTCTGCAGTAACATTTTTCAGGATTCTATTCCATAAATTAGGGACATTTACGATCTTATTGTATTTAAGGGAGAGGTGGGCATTTGTTTGAGGATGAACTTGACTTAACACCAGTATCAGGATTAGCAGTGATACGCCAGCTATTTCTGGAGATAGGAGGAGCCGACAGTTGTATAATCCATGTTATGGAAAATCCAAAAGTAGTGACTGTGTGAGACATCCTTCCTAATTTTTGACAGAGCAGAAACATGAGGGAATTTGGAACATAAAAACACATTAGGGTGGCACCGTGGCCTAGTGGTTAGCATTGCAGCCTCACAGTGCCAGGGACCCAGGTTCAATTCCACCCTTGGGTAATTGTCTGTGTGGACATTCTCCCTGTGTCTGCGTGGGTTTCACCTGGGTGCTCTGGTTTCCTCTTACAATCCAAAGATGTGCAGGCTCAGTGGATTGGCTGTGCTAAATTGCCCTGTAGTGTTCAGGGATGTGTAGATTAGGATGGGTCTGGGTGGGGTGCTCTGAGGGCTGGTATGGACTTGTTGGGCCAAAGGGCCTGCTCCCACACTGTAGGGATTCTATGATAAGTAGCGTCAGAAATGAAAGAAGACAATTCACGTAGTCAGCAAACCATTCCTATTATTTTTCATTACCATTCTTTTCGCTGGAAAACATGACGGTATGAGAACCTAGAAATTATGACCTTAAAAAGCCATTGCTAAGAGTGAAGTTTTTGTCAACTTGCTTATGAATTAGGAGTAGGTCACTCAGTCTTTTGTGCTTCAACAATTCGAAATGAGTCCATCGTATTTATGTTCTTGAAATGTTATTGAGATAGATAAGTACATTCATTGTATTGCTATCACCAGTCTATTTCAGAAGATGATGTCATGGAGTCACTGTCTGCAGACTTTATCCAAAGATCTCCAGCTCCAGTTTCAAAATGCTCAGCTCCAACTTCTCAATGTGCAGCTCCACCACCTTCGCTGAAGCAGGTATGGAACTTGGGAACAGGAAGAAGTCATTTAGCCTGAGTCTTCTGTCATCTAAGATAGAGTAGCTTCTATTATCGACTGTTTAAAAAAATCATGGTGGAGTAGTTTGGGGCCAGTGTTCAGGTGTGCAGTGCAACCATCTAGATAATTTCCTACACATACCAAGATAGGCCTAACACATGATGAGTTCTGTTTGAGAAAGTGGACTGCCCTGACATCTGCTTCCCTTCATTTTGCTGAGCATAAGATACTGACCAGTAAGTGGATGCTGCTGGAAAGAGTGAATTTGTCTTTAACACAAATGCAAACTATTTGAAGTCCGAAGGAGCATGAGTGCTTTTCACAGCAGTGTAGTATTCCTGAGAACCACTGCTGAATCCCAATAGACTCTGTTTTATCTCCTGCTTCCTCATGAAGGACTTGCCCAAGATATGTCGCAACCAGGCAAGAGATCCAGTATTCAGCTGTTTCAAACAACGGCGCTGAATCTGCAGCTCATCTCATTGTTGTTTGGTTCGGTCTTGGATTAATACAAAATCCACACCTTTCACAGAATCACAGAATTGTTGTGACACAGAAGGCGGCCATTTGGCCCATCATGTTTGTACCAGCTCTTCAAATGAGCAAGATTACCTGCCTTTGCGCTTGTATGTTATTTCTATCCAAATAATCATCCAATGATCTTTTGAATGCCTCCTGCACATTCCCAGGCAGTGCATTCCATTAACTAACTAACAACTTTGTGAAAAAGTTTTTTTTCTCACATCACCCTCGCTTCTTTTGCAAATCCGTGCCTTCGCATTCTTGTTCCTTTTATGACCAGGTCATGAGGAGAAGTTCTGTGGAGATCTAATCGTGACCTAATTTCTGTTCCTCATACGTTGCTTGTTGAATGTGTCCATATCTCTGTGTCTCCATGTCTTTTCTACATGACTGTGGGCTGCAGCAGGTGGCATTGTTTGGAAATTGGATTTGCTTATTCCAATTGACTAAGATAATATCAACATCTCTTCATGTTAGTTTCTTCACTGAATTAAAAGGAGTTCATTCAGTCAAAAATCCATAGCTGTCAATGCCACAGTATGCTGATATTGTGACCACAAGAACCTGACTAATTGTTGCAGCCCATAGGAACTTTTACAACTGCAAGGAATTATGAAAGGAGAAGGAACTGCAATATTGATCAAAAGACAATATTACAGTAATAGCAACAAAAGATTTTGGTAAAGCTAACTGGACTAGAAACAAAAGATTTCGGTAAAGGTAATTGGACTGGAAACGATGGAAAAGGCAGAACTAAAATAACTAAGGTCGAACTAAGGAACAGCAAAAGATACTGGATGCTGGTCGAAGTTGTTTATTGACCATTAGACAGTGATATGGTTAGAGACAGAGATCAAGTTGATGTGCAGCAAAGTGCTAGAGCCAGTCGGACCAGTTAGGTGCAGGGTTTCATGTTGGTGCCGGTAAGGAAGGGCTGAGGGTGGTGACGAGACAATTGTGTGTCAGTGGGCGACCTTAGGTTATCCTTGTCCCAAATCCTCTTTAAAACTGAGCAGGCAGAGGGCAGGAAAGCTCCCTAGGGGATTTTACTGGCTCCACTCTCCAACCTGTAAATCCAACAGCGAGAGAACTGTTTGTATGAACAAGTGAAGATGAACTAACAGTTGAAATTTCCTTTTCTTACAAAGGCACCTCTGAAAGCTTCGACAGCTGCCCCTGTTTCTGCAAGTCTGAGTGGTACTAAGGTAAATGAGAAAATAAACTATGAAACAAAGGGATTTCTATTTACAAAGGTTATGGTCTTATTTCTAGAGATTAGGTTCAAATCTAAATAGATATTGTTTCAGTAAAAGGACATATTGTTCTTTGGAACCAGATGCTGATAGGCCACATGTAAAAAATACACAGTTTTAGGGTCTTGCTTTTCATTTACCTTCCGTCATTGTCTGCCATGTTTAATGTCTCAAATTGTCCCACTGTGATTTGGAGTATTCCTATAACAGTGGTCTACTCTTTTGAATAAGAATACAATGTGATAATTTCCTCATCAGAGGTAGTATAATGAATCTCAGCAAACAATAGCCCTGGTATTAACTGGGAAGTGGCGTGTCTATTGGGTACACAGAGGTCCTGCTGAGTGTAACAACAGAACCACATTGTAATTTTGTTTGACCCTTTCCCACCCAGCAGTTGACTAAATAAACAGGCTGCTGTGTTGCTGAGCAGATAAAATACTGGCAGAAGCCATTCCCAGCAGCTCTAGAGATCCAGTCAGGCTGCTGGCCAGGACTCAGGAAATGGGATGCGGGGGCACTGCATGTAGTGATCATACATATAAGCATATCAGTTATAAGCTGGAGTATGCTACTTGGATCAAAAACAACGTTGCTGGAAAAGCTCAGCAGATCTGGCAGCATCTGTGAAGGAAAAAACAGAGTCACCCTTGGGTCACCAGACCCAAAACGTTAACTCTATTTTTTCCTTCGTAGGTGCTGCCAGACCTGCCGAGCTTTTCCGGCAACTTTGTTTTTGTTCCTGATTTACAGCATCCGCAGTTCTTTTGGTTTTTATATGCTATTTGGATCCTTGGGCCTGCTCTGAATTTCAATAAGATCATGGGTGATTTGTTTGTGTTCTGAATTCCACTTTCCTGTCTACTCCTGATAAACTTTGATTCTATTGTCTAACGAAAATCCATCCACCTCTGCCTTTAAATTATTCGATGACTCCGCCCCTAACACCTTCTGAGTCAGAGTCCCAAAGTCACACGTCCATCTGAGAGAAAGAAAATTCACCTCCTCTCAGTCCTAAAAGCACAGCCCCTAATTTTTAAATAGTGCCTCTTAATCTGGACTCACTTGTTAGAGAATGCTGTGGATGTGCCGGTGTTGGACTAGGGTGGGCAAAGTCAAAAATCATACGTCACCAGGATATAGTCCACCTTAGTCCAACACTGGCACCTCCACATCACGGCTACCATCAACACTGCAAGCGCAAAGTGGAGACGATCTCCAATAAGATCGCACATATCGACACAGACATCAAGTTTCTGCAGAAATGCAAGAAAGCAGAGAAGATCCCAAAAGGACTATGGATCATGAGCCCACTCAAGTCAATGATTCTTTGATCTCACTGCTTATAAACTATGTCCGTGTGCTCTCTGACACTGCTCCTGACGAAGGAGTAGCGCTCCAAAAGCTTGTGATTTCAAATAAACTCTTTGGACTATAACCTGGTGTCGTGTGATTTTTGACTTATAAGAGAAAGCATCCTTCTCATGTGTGCCCCCACCCCTATCAACACTGTTTAGGATCTTGTACTCTTCCATCAAGTCACCCTTTACACTCCTAAACTCCAGTGAAAACAATTCCAGTCTGTCCAATCTTTCCTCATAAGACAATACTAGGTTCATTCTAAGCATCAATTCAGGAAACTTTTTCTGAACTACCTCTGATGCATTTATGTCCTTCTTTAAGTAAAGAGACCAAACCTATACATGATCCTAGATATGGTCTGACTGATATAATGTGAAGCATAACAATCTTACTGGATTTGTCAATACCTCAGAATTAATTTTCATTTAAGCAAAGCCTTTGTATTCTTCTTGTCAAAGTGAACAACTCACATTTTCCCACATTGTACATCATCTGTCATGTTTCAGCAGATTAGCTGTGGGCTGCAGATCAGGGCTTTTGGAGATTGTATTGGTGATCATGTCCAGGGTAAAGAGAGAGATCATGTTTGGAAGAGGGTTATTGTTTTCTCTGAGGGAGCAGCACCCCTGATCCTCTTAGTCCACTAGTGATGTAAAAAGCTGTCACCTTCTGGGGCCAGCCATTTTGCTGCTGGCTTTCCCAAGAAACTTAACTGACAGCTATTAAAATAAAGTTCACTTAAGGCTCCAACATCAGGAGAGCCCTGATTTAAGTACAGCAGTGAACTGTTTTACCTCTTCAAGGTGGGTTGTGCGCTAACCATTGTGATAAGGCTGTTGACAGCCATGTACATGTCAGGTTAGAATTTTTAAGCATTTATTTATCCTGCACACTCCATTTGTATTCCTCACCATCACCAGCTATGATTAACTCCACCTTCAACCATCATGTGTTGATGTTGAGGCCTTTACAGTGGAACTCATTTAGTCAGTATATTACCAGTTAGGATATCTCCTCCTGTACCCCTCAGTTTGTTGATACAGTACCAACCTGCTCTTCATCTACATATCACTTCTTAGTGACGTTATTCTTGAGAACCGTGATTTCAACTGTCACTGCAATAGCATAGAGGAAGGGGATGAAGTTGTTCGGCTAGCACTGATCTTGCTGAACCTGACATCGATATAAGGAGGCTGCTTCATTTGTTTGCAGGCAGACTCAAACCTACAGTAACTTACTTCGCTGCTGTCAGAATATCTTTCAGGTGAGATTCAGCTGAAATTTAAAAAAAAATGTTTATTTATCTTTAAAGGGTGAAGATCCAGTTGGATTGCTTGCTGCAACACTTCCATCTGAAGCACCAGACAATTCAGGTCCCAAGTACAGTGGCCCTGCTGTGAAGGTGTGTATTTAATTTCTTTCCTGAGGTTTTCAGATGCAATAAAATAATTGGGGACAGTATCAAAGCAGGAGCTAGTGGGGCTGGTGATGGAAGCTGATTCAAATAATTGCTTATTGGAGTGCAGTGAGTGAGTAAGCATTGTCTAGAGAGGGAATTCCAGAGGTTTTTTTTTAAGTCTTTAATGAGATGACACTGGCATTTGTTGCCCATTCCTAATTGTGCCTAAGCTGAGCAATTTTTACAGCCAGTTCACGGGGCAGTGAATTAGTATTTTGTTGATACCAGTTGACACCGACTGCTATGAAATAGGGTTTTACCTTGAGATTGGGTCTTGAGCTCAAGAAAGTCAATGAGACTCGGAAGTGCTGTGGGTCTTGGAGATACATCTAGGCCAGACTACATATGATGGATGCATTCCCTTCATTCACATCAGTGAATCAGTTGGGTTTTAACAGCAATCATTTTCATGATCGTTACCAAAACTACCTTTAAAATCATCAGTTGAATTCACCAGCTTTGGTAGTAGGATTTGAACCCATGTCCCCAGAGAATTAGCTTTACCTCTGGATTACTAGCAATTACATTATCATTACCGGTCTAGGGGTAGGGACACTACCATGGTGACACAAGAAGCCTCCTCATTAGCTCCCCTGAAAAAGATTACTGAAAGCGCAACCACTGATGATAGGAGGACATGGAGGGAATAAGAAAGATTACACCATAGATAATAGTGAAACCACACCAGTGGTAGTTCCACTGAGCTCAATATTGGGTAAAATACATTGGAGGAGGAGGATTCTCAACCATGGCAAAAGCTGCAAAGAGTTCAAGGAAGGATAATAAACAATAACAACCACAGAGTGTGTCATTTTGTCTTTGGGTAAACTTCATTTGATAAAACAGCAGAAGGAGAACCAGATCTCACATTCATAAATGGAGTTGAGCAAAACTGACCACCAGTTTTGGGAATTCACAACATGGTCAAGGGCAGTTACAGATGTTAAATATGGGGCAGAAATTTAACCACCAAGTCTCATTGACTTGCTTGAGCTCCTCACATCACAATCTCAAGGTAAAACTCTATTCATAGCAGTCAGTGTCAACTGATATCAATGATATTAGATCCACAGTAGCTTTACAGCAAAGTCAAATAATTACCAAAATCCTGACTTTGTTCAGGCGGTTTTACCTAAAATTTCCTTTACGCATTTTGTTTTTGGATTTGACACCTCAATATTTTTGAGTTTTGATTGTTTTCAAAAATATATTTCATATCTTCAGGAAACTGATCATTCCAAGAAGAAGCCTGAGCTTGTTGGAGAGACTGAAGAATCTATCCCCCCTGACTACAGATTTACAGAACAACCTGATCCTAAGGTTCGAACCAACGACTAAGCCAATTGTTTCAATATGTTTACTGCTTTCAAAATATTTTGATATGTATAAGATCATACAATATAGATAGAGGGGTAAGCTATATGGTCCCTTAAATATGTTCCACCATTTATTAGAACATAAACAGAAGCAGCAGTAGGCCAATTGACCCCTCAAGTTGCCCTGCCTTTCAACAAGATCATGGCTGATCTGCACAAGACCTTAACTCCCCAATATTTCAAAAGTCTATCCAGCTCCTCTTTAAATATTTTCAGTGATCTAGTCTCCACAACTCTCTGGGGTGGAGAATTCCCGACATTCACTAACCCCTGGGAGAAGAAATTCCTTTGCATGTCAGTTTTAAATGAGCATCCCCTTATTCTGTAACTATGTCCCCTAGTTCGAAAACCCACACTAGTGGAAACATCTCAACATCTACCCTATCAAACCCCTTCAGAAGCTTGCATGTTTCAAAAAAAAACCCTTTTAAACTCAAATGAATAAACTAACCTGTTTAGTCATTCAAATTAAGTCAACCTCTTCATCCCAGGAATCAGCCCAGTGTGTCTCTTTAGAACAGCTTCCAATGCCAGCATATTATTTTTTAAAGGGTGCCGTGACAAACACATGAATAGGATTGGAATAGAGGGATACGGTCCCTGGAGGGGTAGGGGGTTTTAGTTGTGGTGGGCAGCATATCGGTGCAGGCTTGGTGCTGAAGGGCCTGTTCCTGTGCTATAATTTTCTTTGTTCTTTTGTTCTAAAACTGTACACAGTGCTGCAGGTTTGGCCTCAACAAAATTCTGTACAGTTGTAACAAGATTTCCATGTTTTTAATCTCCAACCCTCTACCAGTAAAGAGCAAAATTCCACTTAACTTCTTAATTACTTGCTGTACCTGCATATAAACGTTTTATGTTTCATGCACAAGAACATCCAGATCCTGCTATGCTGAATTTGTTTGTGTAAAGCTTTCCTAAATGTCCTGCTATTTCTTCCTTAATAATGAGCTCTTGTATTTTCCTAATGAGAGATGTTAGACTAACTGGCCTATTCTTGCTTTATGTCTCCTCCCTTTTTGAACAGGGACATTACATTAACAGTTTTCCAATCTACTTGAACCTTTCAGAAATCCAGTGAATTCTGGAATAATTCAACTACTGCCCCAGAATTTCTCTGGCCACTTCCTTTAAAACCTGGGATGCAGGCCAGCAAGTCCCAATGACTTGTCTGCCTTTAGCCCCATTAGTTTGTTAAATACTTTGTCTCTCTTGAAAGAGACTGCTATAAGATCTTTCCTCCCATTAGCATCGTGCTTATCTGTTATCATTGAGATGTTATTGTGTCCTCGACCATGACAACCACTGTAAAATATTTTAAAATTTCCTTGCTCCCTGTTATTAATTTTCCAGTTGCACCCACAATGGATCTCACACTCACTTCAGCTTCTCTCTCTTTTTAGACACCTATCAAAGCCCTTACTGTTTGTTCCTATATTTCTTGCCAATTTATTTTCATAATGAATTTTCTCCCTCTTTTTGTTAACTTTTTAGTCAGCTGTTTCCAAAAAAAAGCCTCCCAATCCTCCAGATTACAGTTAGTTTTTGGCACTTTGTGTGCCTTAGCATTTGGTTGGATGATCTCCCTGGCAGCATTTGTTAACCATGCATACTTCATCCTTCTTTTTGACTGGAATAAAGTTTTGCTGAATACTATGAAATATCTGCTTCAATGTCTCTGACTGCTCATCCACTGATCTTCCCGCTAGTCTATTTTCTCAGCCGGGTTTAGACAAATCTACCTTTGTAATGACAAATCTTTAAGTAAGTTGAAGGCATTGGTTTGGACCTAAGTTGCTCTCCCTGAAATTGAATTTGAAATTCTATCATGTTGTGGTTTCTATCCCCTAGAGCATCCTTATCTGAGATTTCTTATTAATACCATCTCATTACCCATTATTGAATCTAAAATAACCTGTTCTCAGGGAGGTTCCGCAATGTACTGCTCTAAGAAATAATCCCTGATGCATTCTCGAAATTTGTCTTCCATTTGACCCTTGCCCATCTGATTTGTCCAGTCAATATGTAGATTATAGTCACCGATGACAATTATAGTGCCCTTCTTATAAACCTCTATTATTTTCTGATTTATACTTTGTCCTACAGTGAGGCAACTCATAGTTGACTCCTATTCGTGACTTCTTTTCCTTACTGTTCCATAATTCTACCTGATATTATAAGATCATCATTTATTGTCAACCTCAAATCCACTTTGCCATCCTATCTCCATACCCTTTGATTCCCTAAGAGTCCAAAATCTCTCAGTTTCTGCCTTCAATATACCTACAGATTATGTATCCACCAGCTCTGACAATAGAAAATTAAAATGTTTGCAATCTTCTGAATGAAGACATTACATCTTGTCTGTTCCATTATCTTGCGTTTCTGGCCCCCAGTTAGCCTCATTGCATCTACCCTGAGAAACCTTTCTAAATCTAATGTATTTCAGTAAGATCACCTCTCATTCTGCTACACTCCAGAAAGTAAGAGGCCATTCTGTTCAATTTCTTCGCACAGGACGACATTTGAAGGAATGAATCTAGTATATGTTTATTGCACCCTCTAAGGCAAGTGTATCCTGCCTTGTTGCAGAGATGAAAACTGTACACAACACACCAGGGATAAAATTATTCATACCCCCAAAACTGCCAGCCTACCCACCATCTGTAAATAAATAAGTAAGGGATGTTTAAGCTTGTTAAAACCTCAATGATCTGAATATTGCCTTGTAATACAATGTGGACAGGCAGTTGCCTATTTCTTTTTCAAATAAATGGTTTTAAAATATTAGGAAAGGTGCTGTTTTTGAAGGGTGCCCTTTGTGCATTGTAGACTTGCCCTCCCAGAGATAGGACTGACCCCTTCTTTCCTTTATGCTGCACCATAAATCCACCGTCCCCACTCCCCTAATCCACTACACTAAGATGCCCAAGCTTCCTTGTCCAGTACCACCCATTTACTTCACTCCAGGGACTGATTGATATCTTCATCCTGGGTCTGCTTGTTCCAGCAGAATCCACTACCAAGCCTTGGCACTGCCATGACTACAACAGTTGGCAACTCCGAAGGATGAGACTTCCTCCTTGTGAGGGGTGCATTTTCAGTCTGCCCTTATTATTGGTGGCTGTGGCATAATTTTGCAATAGTTTTGCAATAAAGGCCAACTTGTAATTTGCATTTCTAATTTTTTGCTATTTCTGCATATTAATTTTCTGTGCTTGCCATACAAGGGCAACCATTCCCCCACTGAGGACTAGCATTTAATAGTCCCTTATCAATATTCTGTTTGTTTCCATTCTTACTGGAAAAGTAAATAACATAACTCTTTCCTTCATTATTTTCCATCTACCACCCTCTTGCCCACTCACTTAATCTGGAGATCTCTTTGCAGACTTTTGAAAGGAAGATTCTTCCAGCAGGGTTATGCAGACTGCATAGATTCCCCAGGGAATGACAGGGTCATAGGTCACTAACGCATAGTCCATGTTGTGTTATTGAGTTACACTGATGTGGGAATCTGCTAGTGGTGCATGATGCTGCCTGCCACTGAGAAATCAATGTCAGTTTCAGGTCGCACTGTGAGCAAATTTCCCTATCCTGATGTCCTCATCACAATTTGCCATCCCATCTAGCCTTGCATACATTACATTTGGTCTCCTCATCTGAAATAATTCAACACCTTGTGAATAGCTGAGACCCTAGCACTGATCCTTGCAGCATTCCACTGTTAAGTTTGTCGACCCAAAAATGACCCATTTATTGCTGCTCTTCTTTTCTCTCTCCGTTAGCCAATCCTATATTCATGCTAATATTTTAGCCCGAAGTACATGAACCCTTGTATTTCTCAACAACTCTTTGTGTGTACACTTTTATTCCCCTTTCTACCCTGCTAGTTGCAAGATGGTTAGAAAAAAATGTTGAAATGAATACTTTCATAATAATGGTAAAACAGCAGAAATGATTCTGAAATCACAGTACTTCCAAAATTGTAAATACTGAATAACTACTTTAAAATTAAAGTCAGTGCAAACCAATACTGCCTATATTTAATCAGCGATATAGTAATTAAATGATGTGGCTGTTCAGTTTATTGATCAAATGAATTCCATTAGCAGTAACAGAACACTTCCAAAAATCATAATAGGATTGTTTAGTGGCAACATGTTTATGAAAGGGAAATCTTGCTTGACCAATCTATTAGAGAAATTATGGATGTAACTAATACGGTGCATAAGGGAACCATTGGATGCAATGTATTTGGATATTCGTAAAAAAACATTCAATTAGGTACCACAAAGAGCTCGTTATACAAAATGGGATTGAAAAGAGTATTTGAGCGTGGATTGAAGATTGGTTAATGGACAGAAACAGAAAGAAGGAAGAAACATGTAAATTTTGTGTTAGTAGTCTACAGTTAATGGACTACCATAAGTAGGCCAGTTGGACCTTGGAGCCTGCTTTGCCACTCATTATGATTATGGCTGATCATTCTGCTCAATATCCTATTCCGCTTTCTCCGCATAACCTTTGATCTGTTTAGCCCTAAAAACTATAACTAATTCCTTCTTGAAAACATTCAATGTTTTGGGCTCAACCACTTGCTGTGGCAGTGAATTCCACGAGTTCACCACTCTCTGACTTCATGAAGGGATTGAAAGCAAATGTATACACATTTGCCGATGATACAAAGCTAGGTTATATGATTTGTGAGGAGGCTGCAGAGGCTGGGAAAGAATTTGGACAGGTCAAGTGTGTGGAAGAGAATATGGCATGTGGAATATAATATGGAAGTTGTAAAGTTATCAACTTAGGCAGTAAACATAGAAAAACAGAATATTATGTAAACAGCGGCAGGTAGTGTTGAGCGATCTGGGCATTCTTTTGCAGCAACCATAAAAATTTAACGTGAGCAACAAGCAGTCGGGAAAGAAAGTTGCACGTTTGTCTGTATCAAAAAAAGTTTGGACTATCAGCGTAAATATGTCTTAAAGCAATGGAGAGAGAGAGAGAGAGTTTTGAGACTATACCCAGAGTATTGAATATTGTTTTTGTCTTTTAACCTAAGAAATGATAAAGTTGCCCTAAACAGAGTGCAACACTAGACTGATACACACACTTGCTCGCTCACTCACAGTCTCTCCCTAGATGCAGAAAATGTGTCCACACCTCTCTGACAGTAAAACATTTGTGATGATAATATGGTGGGTCTGGCATTCATGATTTCGCAGTGGGACCTCTGTCTGTCAGGGCTAGGGGTTCCCACCACTGACCAGTAACTGAGCCTGATTTACCAGTAACATCAAAAGCAAATAGTTGCCACTGCTGGGTACCAGAGGTAGTCTCCACAATGAAAAACTTTGATACTGGACTTGAAAGAAAGTTTAAGTATTTTGGTCAGTGAGGATTCAGTAGTTCAGTGAGAGGGGCTGAGGGGTAAGCTTTTAGAGTTTGGCTAGGGCGTAGGTGGGGGCTACCATTATGAGGGTGAGGTTCTGCATAGCTACAAAGAAGGTATCCCTCTTCCTTCCCACCTTTGTCCTGTCCAGTGATACCTGCCAGGCTGACCTCCTTCCTTGCACCGTCCCTAGCCATATACATTTTAGAGGCAGAGGTAGACTGAGATCTTTACATGATAGTTCATTGGTGACTTCAGGGCCTCAGGGAGGACACTGTAAAATAGTGGGCATGTCAGGGTGAGCTTGTCACCCAGTTTGTTTTCCATGCCAAAAACAGTGGCAGAAACTGTGAAAATAACTCCCTAAAATTCTTAGTGGGCTTGGAGGGGTGCATAGTGGGAGGATGTTTCCCCATGAATAGGTAATCTGGAACTAGTCTTAACAGTCTCAGAAGAGGATCAACCATTTATGACTGGAGTGAGCGGAAGTTTCTGCACTTGAAAAATTGCATTAGCATTTGATATTCTGTTGGGTGTAGAGAATATAGGCATTGCTAAAAAGGTGTATGAAACTGAAGCTGTTCATCTTGTAATCATCAGGACTGATGAATAGGAGACCAAATTTAGAAAGCGCACAGCAGTTCATAACAGCAAGAGAAGAGGGTGATTATTTGGACTATGGTGTGCATGGGGAACTGTTGATTGTTAATCTTTGGTGATTAAACTGTGACCAGATTCTTACTAATGAAGGGTGTTAGTCCAGCAGGTATTGGCAGTCTCCATGCCCCTTTTGTTCACGAGAAAGGTGCAGTGTATGGAAAAATGTCTTTGTCTATAAAGAACAGGATCCTGGCTATTAATATATATGTAGCTTTCAGCATACATAAATAAATGTCATAGCAAACCAGTCTGATCATCTTACATTGGTTTCTGGTGCAATGCTTAGCACAGTCGGGACTATTTAGTGCATGTTATCCGATGGGAGAATCACATCTAATGTTGGACAGGGTGTTCTGAGATTTGCAAGCATGAGCTGGTTGAACATGTTGGTATGTGGTTGCTGTGGACAGCCAAACAGATGTGTTGTTCGATATAGTACACCAGTAGTTTTGATGTATGGCCTACATAACTAGAGTCACTCAGACACTAATGCATTATTAATTGCATTGTTTGTCTTTTTGGCCTGTTGGCAGTATTGTATGAGTGGAAAATACAACTCGTGTACTCTGAAGTAGCAGCATGAAATGGCTAGCTTTACCTGTATTTCAAATACTTTTCCTTCAGGGTAATCTGAGGTCAACTGAGCACCTTTCAGGACCAAATGTTTTTGCCATAGTCCTCTCACGAGTTTGGGTGCTTTACAGTGAATGATGATTTGATCAGGGAAGCCATTATCTCACAGGATAGGTTTTGATTTGAATTGGCTGCCACGGTCATTCTTAGTCAATTGAGTGGATTCAAATCCGAGATCAGCAGATTTTTGGAAGGGAATCAAGGATATAGGGATCGTTTGGGAAAATATATTAAGGTAGAACACCAACCTTGATTTTATTGAATAACACAGCAGACTCGAGGGACCATGTAGCCAACTCTAGATCCTGTTTGTTTTATTCTTGAAAGGTATATATTGATTTGTGTACACCATATTTACATTGCAATGAGTTATTTCTGAGATGCTGAAAGATTTAATGGTGTCTGTGTTGTTGTATTTCCTGCCTTCTAAATTTTAAATAATTCTGATGTTCCTAAGAACAATCTGATGAATTTATTTCTTGAAACAGGATAAAGGCAAACAGGCCTCTTCCTCCTCTGGTCCAGGAGCAAAACCAAAGGCCACAGAGAAGGTAAATCTCAACTGATTTTCTTACAGAAGGACAGTTTAGTTCCCTCTTGTACATTTAACAAAAAATGTCATAGCATTGTGGAATTGTAGTATCTTTATGATCAAATTGGTTTGATTTTACTCAGTGAATTTCAGTTCTTATGTTTGAGACTGATTGTCATGTTTTCTGACAGTTACCGTCAGAGGCTGAGCTAATAGAAAGTATGGCATCAGAGTTTGACTCTTCTTCAGCTTCACATTCTGGGACACAGATCTCCAAGCAGAAGGAGGTATGATAGAATTGGGCTAATGTGTATATGTATTCCATATTCTGAACTGAAAAATGCTTTTTCCTCAGAAATATTTTTAAATCACTGCTTGTTTTCATAGTTGTCAAAAGCAGGGCTGGTTTTCTGAGCCCCCAAAATTTATTAGGACTACAATTAGGTGCTCCTAATTTACTTTAATTTCTTTCATGTGGCTGTGTATAGCAATTCTCATTCTAAGCAATTGAATATATTTTCATCATTAACTCCATTTACCTTGTCCCAGTAGCTCTCTAGTCCAGAATCAGTTGGTGGATAGTCTTGCAGTGCACTTTCCAGTAACTACTCTCTCAGTGCTGATGCCCACTCTGGCATTGCATTGTAAAATCACCGTCCGATATCTAGCAAATTTCCTGTTTCATTTTCTCACCTATAACAATTCAAATTATTGAACCAGCTACACCATTGATTGAATCGTGGCTGATCTGTATGTTAAGCTCATTTACCTGGGGAGTTAATAGCAATATTCATAGATTTGATGACGTTGAGACTGGATCAGTGCACTCTTTTAAAATACCCTTTTTCCTTTGTTCCCACCTTATTTTTAATGTTTGGCATTCTCTGCACGCAAACTCATGTGAATATATGTACTGATGTTCTAATACATTGCTTTCGCTTGAGCTTTCAGTATGGGAATACTTCTGCATTCAAATAGTGTTCTCTCACTCAAAGCAGAAATAGGAGAACCGTGAAATTAAGAATTGTGCAAAATTTACAGAACAGGAGGAGGCCATTCAGTCCATTATGTCTGTGCAACTACTGGAACTGTTTCCCTCTTCTCATATTAGGTGTCAAAGAACTCGAGCTTGCAATCAATAGAGGAACATCGAATGGAGAGAATCATATACTTGTAACAAAGCATTCCCCATTTTTCACTTAGATGAATAAGTGGACAGATGATCAGACAGGTCCCTTTTACGGGTGTGTGATTCACCTTGCCCAGTTTGCCTTTATTCATGTGCACGGTTGATCCCTTAGGCAACTATGTTCCTGTTATTTACATATCAGCTTAATCTCAGGAAGGGAAATACAGGGTCTGAATTCCAGTCTCATAAATATTTTACCATAAATGTGAATCAATCCATCCTAATAATTGATTCCCTGGTTCACATGTTCTAAGCATGGTTTACAAGCTGATCTGAAGTTGCCAATCCACCTTATTTTAAAGGGAACAAATCATATCTACTTTCCTCCTTGCTAGGCTACTCCACTGAAATCACCGATTCAGTGCTGTCTGTGTAAGCAATTAAATTAGCATTATGTTTAGTGATTTTCTTTATAGAATGAGTATGTTCGATGTACTCCTCTAGGATTCCATTATTTTTTAATATTTGTAATATCTTACAACCCTTTAAAGGAACAGTAGCCTAAATTTTCTGAATTCATGTTAAAGTTTAAATGAGTATTCTTAAAATCTGATTGTATTATTTATCTTAGTAAAAGAATAAAGATCTTCAAAACATATTGCCATATTTAAATATTATAGTAATATCCATATTAAACACACAGAATCCCTACAGGGTGGACGCAGGCCATTTGGCCCATCGAGTCCATACCAACCCTCTGAAGAGCATCCCACCCAGACCTACCCCATTCCTGTAACCCTGCATTTCCCACGACAAATCCACACTGCTTGCACATCCCTGAGTGCTCTAGGCAATTTAGCATGGCCAATCGCCTAATCTGTACATCTTTGGACTGTGGGAGGAAACCCATTCAGACACGGGGGAAAAAATTGCAAGCTCCACACAGACAGCCGCCCAAGGGTGGAATCAAACCCGGTCCCTGGCACTGTAAGGGAGCAGTGCTAAGCACTATACCACCATTCTGCCCATGCATGCTATGGAACAGATTGCTCATCCAAACTGAGTGAATGATGGATTTAAAGATGCAGTTTTATATCTCTAATAATGTACAAATATATTCTCGCAGGCGGGCCATAATACTGCAAGTGTTAGCAAGACGAGTTCAGCACCCAAAATCAGTGACGTAGGACCAAAATCGCCAAAGGTACAGACAGTGTTGGAGCGCGACGATCACCAGCTATGGTTATTGGTTTGTACAGCGAGAAGAGTCAATTCTCTCGTAGCCCACAAGTCATTTTATTAATATCATTAGATGATACACATGTAGCTTATACATTTCTTAGCATAAGCCAAAAGCTAAACATCTATTTGCATACCAGCTAGGGTCCTCTGACACACCCCGAGTAGTCCCAGAATATAAAAGCTAATACTTGGGCAGGATTGCTGCTGATGCTGATTGAGGACTGATGCTGGCCAGGTGTTCCGTTTCCACCACCCCCTCTCCCCCCGCCTCCCCAACCGATGTTATCACCACGTTCTTGATGTAGGGTTCCGTTCTGCAAAGGTTAGTCTCTGGAGTTTTCATGTCCAAGAGTTATCTTATTCATTTCCCTTATCTCTTTCAAACTATACTGTCTCTTCCCCCTTCGGCTCAAACCCATTCACTTATCGCATGCCTTTTCCTTATTAGCCCTGGCCCAGGGACTTAGGTAGCTTTACTTCATTACTCCTCGTCCAAATAAGGCTTTGGCATTACCTCATTTTCCTTACTTCTTGCAGAACTTAGGTAGTTCAAACTGGTTTCAGTCAGCTCAACCAGCATCTAGATTCAGGTCATTTCTAGTTCACGAGTCGCTTCTTCCTGTGTGTCAGCAACTTTGCATTCAGTATCTCCTGGTAATGTAGCAGCAACTTTTACTTCTCTTTCTGCAGCCCCTGGCTAACAACAGTATGAGCAGAAATAAGCAGAGAATGTTGAAGAAACTTAGCAGGTCTGGTAGCATCTGTGAAGAGAGAAACAGAATTAACATTTTAAACACAGTATGACTCTTCTTCAGAACCAATTCAGAACAGCATTGTGTTTGTTTTGAATTTTCAGCATTGCAGTATTTTGCTGGTATGTGAGTAGGAATACTTCGATGTGAAATCTAAAACCATGCTTAACTTAGTACCTGAAGTTATCACTTGATGAAAGAGGGTCTTGTAACAGTGAATCAGTTATATTGAAGAATTACATATTAAATATCCAGAAACACAAGCTTTTGGACCCATCATTGGAAAGTTTATGCATGCCAACAAAATAGAATGTACCTATTCCGGAGTTTGCTGAATGACTGGTCTGTATTAAGAGACAACAAGGTGCAGGGCTGGATGAACACAGCAGGCCAAGCAGCATCATAGGAGCAGAGAGGCTGACGTT